TTTATATATTCTAGGTATAGTCCTTGAGAAACAACTGGCAAAATTTTTTTGCCATTCCACAGGTTGTCTCTTCACTCTGTTTTTTACTTTGCTGTACAGAAGATTTAGAGTTTTACCTTTTTTATCTTCCAGAAGATTAAGTGTTTCTGTTTTAACACTTCGATCTTTGATCCATGTTGAGTGTAGTTTAGTTCATAGTGAGAGATATGAGTCTAGCTCCAATCTTCCACATGGGGATTGGCAGTTTTCCCAAGACTATTTGTTAAAGAGGCTATCCTTCTTTCAGTGAATGATTTTGGCCCCTTTGTCAAAGATCAAATAGCTGAATGTGCCAGCTGTTATTTCTGCATTGTCTATTCTGTTCCATTGATCCACATGTCTGTTTTTGTGCCAGTACCATGTTGTTTTTGGTATTTTGATTGAGATTTCATTAAATTTGTGTAACAGTTTTAGAAGTGTGACCATTTTGACAATATTGGTTTTGCCTATCTATGAACAGGGCATATCTTTATATTTTCTGATTTCCTCTTTCATTTCCTCTTTCAGAGTTCTGCAGTTTTCATCATAGAGGTCTTTCACTTTCTTCATTAGGTTAATTTCTAAGTATTTAATTTTTGTTTATGGTATTCTGAATATTGTTTTCCTAATTTCTTTCTTTCTTTTTTTATTAGTTTGTAGAGGTTTCAGTCCATACTCAGCTGGCTCCAAGACAGAGTGGCACATGGCAAAGGGCAGTAGTTCATGATGGCAGAAAACAGAAAAAGCAACAAAAGCAAAAGGGGTGGAGTGAAAAACTGGATTTGGATGGACAGCTAAAAGCATTAGTGACTAGGTCAAAGTGCAGCTGGCACTAGATGCTGCTAATATGTGCAAAGGTTTTGTGTTGGCAGTGGTAGCCCTCTGACAATATTATTTCCACCATGCTAATGTCAGCTTATATTTTTTGTATTTTGGAGGTCTGCATTTTCCTAAAAAACTGACCATTTCATCCAAGTTTCCATATTTATTTTCATAGAATTGAGACAAATTTGTCTCATAATTCTAATTCCTGTTTATTTTGAAATCTCATTTAACGTATTTATACTTTTTTCTTGATTCCATTAGCTTTGTACATTTTACTATCATTTTTAAAAAATCAGCCTTAATCATAGGTTCAATTTTCCTATTTTTATTTCTTAACTTTCTTTTTATTTAGGTGCATTACTCTGTTGTCTTCAATGTTTTAAATTATTTTCATTTTCAGTTATTGGCATCTTTTAAGATGATGACTCATCACACCTTTAGTTAAATCTATAGATCTAATATGCATTTTTATTTTTATTTCAATTTCCAAAATATTCTGTAATGTTGGATTTGACTTCCTCTTTCATCAAAGAATTGCTTGAGAAAAAATTTAAAAGTACTAGGTGGCCAGGCCTTTATCGTATCCCACATTTATTTCTAGTTTTACAAATTGTTAACAGAGAAGTTCCCTACGTATGGCAGGTTTATTGTAAGTTTATTGGAGGTTTATTGGCAGTTTCCTTTGTACTGATCATCTAACATGGTTACTCTTAGAACTATTCCCTTGACAATGGAAAATAAGGCATATTTTGTTTTAAACCTATAGAAAATGTGATATATTATCAGTTATATCTATTATTAATTTCAGCATTTATGTTTTCCAAACATTTATCCTATGGGCCAGGAAACATGAATTAATTTCTTTATACCAATGTGTTTACTATTTCATCTAATTATCAAAGTTTTTCTCAATGATTTTGAATAGTTTGCTCCCCGGCACACATATATTTGTAAGTGTAGATCTTTACCAAGGGTCATACTCTTGACTGTAATGACATCCCTTCTTTCTCTTGTTTATTAGTAATGTGCTGAACATTATCCAATGTTACATCTATGATTTCTGTCTGCCTTTTGTTAACCTGGTATGCCTTTTTCCTATTTAATTTTTTTTAAAGTGAAGTTTTTACTTAGATCTGGATAGCTGACATCCAAAAACACAAGGCAAATCCTCCTGTTACCAATGGTAGCAAATATGTCATCCCTCCAAAGAGCTTTAATTTTTTTTATGGAAAAAAACAAAAGTGCACAACAAAATAATAGGAAAATAGCAATAGTTAACACATTGAGTATTGTTATCTTTAAAGTAGTTACTCAGAGTACAAGATATGGGCATAAAAATTCTCCAACTGATATTAGTACAAACCTTTCATTTCAATGAACTAAGAGAAACTAATAGTATAACTATCTTTTTTTACCTTTTACCTTTCATCCAGCCTAGTTCCTTTTGAACAATTTTTTCCCATTTTACAATATCTATTGTACATTTTGGACCTTACTTACTCTCAGTTACACTAGGGAGACAATACAATGTTTACACATGTGAGTCTGATTTATTTCACTTAGAAGTGTGATCTCAAATTGTTAGCCATTTACTTATGAAAGTCTCAAGTTTATCCTTCTTTGTGGCTGTGTAGTATTCCATTGTATGAAAAGACCACATGTTTTTTATCCATTCCTCAGTTGATGGGCATTATTTCCAATATTTAGCAATTACAAATTGTGCTGCTATAAACATGGGTGCACATATATCACTTTGGTATGATGGTTTTAATTCTTCTGGGAATATACCCAGCAGGGGAATAGCTGGGTTGAATGGGACCTCTAATCTAGTTTTTTAAGGATTCTCCACATTGATTTCCAGAGTGGTTCCATCAGTCTACATGCCCATCCACAGGGAAGAACTTTTCCCTCTTCCCCACAGCCTCTCCAGCATTACTGTTACTGGTTGATTTCTTGATGATAGCCATGCTTTCTGGGGTGAGATGAAATCTCAGTGTTGTTTTAATTTGCATCTCTTGAATGACCAATGATGTTGAAATTTTTTCACATACTTATTTGCCACTTGAATTTCTTCATCTGAGAAGTGCGTATTCATCTCAAATGCCCATTTTTGGATTGGGTCTTTGAATGGGGGGGCTGATTTTTTTCTTCTTTATACAATGAGATAGAGGAAATCAAAAGCCAACTACTGGACCACTGGAACTTTCTTAGTTTTCAACATTACAAACTTTCTTTAAATGCTATATATATTAATTTTATCCAATTTCAGTGATTTTAGACCCTTTATATTTTGATAAACTACAGTCTTGTTTGGTTACTGTATTTTGTTAGCACTGTTTTTATTGCTTATTGTTTTATGAACGCTTCACTAAGAGATCTGTAACTTGTATTCATTTGGTACTGTAGGGAGTCTGCATTTGCCCAAGTCTGGATTCCTCAAAGTAGAGCCTAAAAATATTACCACTTTGAGTGGGCAACCGCCAGGAAGAGTAAGAAACAAAGGGAATGAAGCCAGAAATGAGTGAAAGCCAATATAAGCATTACCAAGTTAGCTACTGCTTATCTTCAAACACAACTGTTTTGCACAAACACTAATAAAAGACACAGTAAATGGGTTAGCACCTTACTTTACAGATAAGGACAGAATGAGACTCTAAGCATGGATTTACTTGCCTGAAGTCTTATGACTAACAAATAGCAGGGTCCCATCAACTCCTCCTTCTCCCCCTCCCTCTCCTCCTCCCTCTCCCCTTCTCTTCTCCCTCTTCCTTCCTCAATGTTGTCCTGGTCTCTCACACATGCAATAAAAGCCTATGTGTCTGGTCATGAGCTGGAGAACAGATAAATATCTCTACGCTAATTGAAATCAAAGTTAACTGCTATAGGCTGTTAACTGCTGCCTTGATCCTGATAACCCCTAACATTCATTCCCTTTCTTATTGCACCTTTCACCTGCCATCTGTACACACTCTCAGTGTTTTATAGATAATTCTTGTCTTTCATGGACATCATCTCAAGGACCTTTCTGTCTACAAAGTGAAATACCACTTCTTCAATGCCAGCAACTGGGTTCCATTATTGTTTATGCACCTCCTAAAAGACATGAGTAGAACTGGATTTTCCATTTTCAGCATTTTTCAAATGCTACAAGAAGTCTAAACATGGATCTCTGGAGAATGACTAAAGGGGGCTCTTTTCCTTAAGAATGAACTAGCTTAGGTGGGCACAGTGGCATACACACACATACTCCCAGCACTGGGTGAGGCTGAGGCAGAAGAATGGCAAGCTCAAGTCCCCCAGGGCAATTTATTGAGCCACTGCAAAAAGAGGGAGAGCACAGAGGCGAAGACGTAGCTCAGTGGCACAGTGCCATCCCCAACCAAAACAAACAAGATTGCTTTACGAAGAGTGTAGTTATTAAAAAAAAATGTGAGGGGAAATCCTTTTATTCAGCAGATATATATCCCAGTGATGATTTTATGTATTATGAGTTCTTTATCATGTTTCAATACAAGTGATTTTAATCTTTAGGTTTTAGCTAATAATGCATTTAAATAAAACCAAAACAGTTGAAAAAAAAAGGATATAGTAAACTGATTAAGAGAAAGCTTAAATATTATTTTAAAGCAATTTTAAAATCCTTCAGAAATTAATTCTTTTAAAAGAGATGGTAATCACTGCCTTCTGGTCAATCAATACCATGACAAGGTATGGGCTTGTAGAGTGTGAGGTGATATCCCCCAAAGATAAATCAAGTCCTGACATCTCGTAACTATGAATGTGCCTTGTCTAGAAATAGGGGTTCACAGATGAGGTCACACTAGGCGTTGGTGAAGGAGGAAATCTGGGCCCTAACATGGGAGACAGAGGCCAGATTGTATGATGACAGAGCAGAAAGCAGATGGACCTGCAAGGCAGGCACAGCAGGCATCAATGGCAACCACCGAAAGCCAGCAGGCAGGAAGGGGGCTCTTCTAGGGCATCTGAAGGAGCATGGCCCTGCGACGCCGGATTCTGGGCTTTTAGTCTCTGGAAGTATTGAGAGAATAAATTTCTCTTGTTTTTAAGGCACCCAGCTTTTGGTGATTTCTCATGGCAACCCGAGGAAATACAGTACTTTTCATAGTTAATGAAAATCAAACCACGTGATACCTGTAATGATTTCCTTCACCTTTAATAATTATACACTGCCCTACTGTACATAAAATAATTTAAATTAAAAAAGACATTATTCCATGTTAGTAAACCATACTTACAAAAGTCTGAACCTTTGAAAAATAAAACTTGCAACAAACTTTCTTCTTTAAGAAGTGCAGGGCTACCTGGCTTTCAGACCTTACTTTTAAATGGGTAACTATAATAGGTACTGAGAAAAAAGCAACAAAAATTAAGAGCCAGTAAACACCAATACTAAACCCAATAAATGTATATATGTAAGTTGTATATAACATGTATGTACTAAAACTCATCTGTTTAAATATAACTTTTAAGTATTTTTTAAAGAAAATAGAAAAGAATAGAAACTTATTTTGACAAAACTCAGTGAAGGCTCCTGAAATTTTATTTCAGCTGTGGCTAATGACACTTTATGTTAAACATAATTCTCCTCTTATTGATTTCAAACTAAAACAGTTTCCTTTTAGCAGCACTGGTCTACACTGGTCCCAGCTCCCTACCCATGAGCCACCCATGGGGAACCAGCTCCGTTCTTTCCCCACCCAGGCACCACTGTAGGGACCCAGTCTGGCTAGTTTGTCACCCCTGACCTGGGGGCAAACAATGATGAAAGAGAAACAGACATGGTTAGTTTAACATGTGGCCAGCCAGGGAGCCTCTAGTGGGCAGACTAGCCTTGAGCATCTATTTACTCAGACACAGGTACAAGCAATTAAAGTAACACAAGATTCAGGGACTTTCCAATATTCATTAGCACATGCTCTGGTAAAGAATTTATCTCAGCTGTATTGACTTTTCCCTAGAACCTGCTGTTATTTCTGCATGTTTCTCATGTGTGCTCACTGAGGAGGCCAATTAGGCCGCAATTCCCCTTTACTGGTCTCCCACACATCCTCCCCTGCCAATAACTCCAAACAAATGTTCAGTGGTAGATGTTTGCACTTCATAAGATTCAAACTATTCTTAGTGTTTGACACAACCATTCACACAAATGCAAGTAAGTCCTGGTAGGTATCACACCTAGTAACTGAGAACCATGCATGAAAGGGACAAATATGTAAGTACAATTATGTGTCCACTTTCACATGTCTGTTACAGAAACGGAAACATTAGTTTGAGTATTACTATATGATGAAGCAGCTGCACAATATTCACCTTAAAAGCCAACAAATATTTTATTAAAAAAAAAATAGAAGGAAAGGATAGCTAAGATCTGTTTTATTTTAAATTCAGTAAAGATGAAATTGATCCTTCAAAAGTAGCAGCCTTATAATCTAGCCAACACTCAGCTGTATAACTGAAGTAATTTATTAGCATTATAGAAATTAAGAGAATGTATTAAAGAGATTCTCAACTCTGTGTGGTTATTTCCATGAGAGACAGTACAAAGTAGGCACAGGTAGGGCTCCACAGCTCCGAGGAGATGAAGTTGTGTCTAGAAAACTGCATTTCTTCCCAGAGTTATGGTATTTCTTTGCAGTACCTAAGCTGAAAATGAGAGCTGCAAATAGAGGGTAACTCCCCTATACAACATTCTAATACACTTCCAGTATGTTTATGAGTATCTGCCCTCACAAATAAACAGGCCATGGATCAGGTGTTGATCTGAACATAAAATAATAAAACTGAAGGTCAGAAGGCACATTCTGGAGAATATATTCCACTAAATGAAAGAAAATGAAGGTACACTACTGCATGAAAGTAATAAAGCAAAATTTTCTAAAACTCTTTTTCAAATCTTAACAAAAAACATATATGTGTTTAAATCTTAATTCTTAAAAAATTATTAAAAGTATAAAGGCCTTTTTGTTATTTATTTCAAAAAAAGTTTTAAATTCACAACATAAATAAGAGAAAATAACATTCTGTTCCAAGGTGACTGTTCTGTGATGTGCCTCGCTTGTCACTTCCTAATGCATCACAAGAGCAAAGGGAACCAGTGGTGTTGGTGTGGCAGTCACTGCAGACTCAGTGGGTCTCCTCATCCTGCGTTTCCTCTGAATGTGGTGAATCCGGTTCCTTCCTGCTGTATTCCCCCTCACTGTCCGATCCACCTTCAGCTCTGGTAGCCTGCTGGCCCTGGGGAGAACTGCCACAGGCTTGGTCTGTGGGAACAGCTCCTTTCCGCTGGGGTAAGATAGTAAAAAATGCTTCTTGCCAATCTCTTGTTTGTAGGTATTCCAGAATAATCTCAAATACTGCAATAAAGACACACTCCATACATTCCTTGGTCAAGTCCATCCCAACATTGCATTCTGTCTTCTAACGTACACATTTTGGTGTAATGACTACTTCACTCTTACCTCTTCCTGCTGGCTGTCAGGGTCTACCTGCCCCAAGGCTCGTGAGCTTCCTGAGGCAGCTCTCAAGCTACAGACACCACAACTGCTCGTCAACTGTGGTCAGTGCATATTTCCTGTTTTAATTCCTTTTGTTTATCCTCTATGTACTAACATATAGCTAGAAGACACATGGTTAGTATTCATCTAATTTTCTTCTAGCTTTCCTATAATGAGCCACCCGCTCTGTGTGGCTTCTCATCTTCTGTTTTGTTTGCTTAACACTAAGGAGTAAATACTATCAATATGTCTCTAATACACTCTTTTTTCAACACAGTGCCAAAGGGCTATTTTGGATTATTTTGTGGAAAAATCACTTCTACTATACATAAAAGGTTTAGAAGTTGTTCATCTCTTCAGTAATTTCTTTAATTCCCTAAAGCCTACTGTAAAGAAAGTATTTAAGGTTCATTAGGTGGTTGTGTATTGACCAAAACATTTCCTTAAAGAGTATGAGAAAGCAAAACTCCAGTCCAAGAATCAGGTCCAAGAAAGTTCATTACAATGTTGTTCATGACAGCAAAAACAATTTTCAATGAAAGGAAAATGGTTATTAAAGATATTTCTCATATAATAACCTACCTGTTTAATGACTGTTTAAACTTATGACAGAAGTGCATTGTTCAGACTTGCAGCCCATCTTTTGTTTTTGTACAGTTCTGTGCATCTTGTTTTTACAGCCTCAATGTCTTTTTTTGTGCAATACCCCTTGTTTACACAGTACTGTAATTTTTGCTGATGGTACTATATAGTACAGTACTGCAGTTTTATGTTGTTATGTATTATAGTACTGCATATAAGTTATGCAAATAAAAGCGAAGTCATCAAGCTGGAGCTTCCTTTGACCATTTCTTTGTTCTATATTGTAACACACACTATATAGAACTCATTTAGCAATTAATTCAGTTCATCTAGTTGCAGTACTGGAACTCAGTCATTAAATAAGGAATGTCTGTATTTACATGATGGAAGTTACATAAACCACTAATGATGATTCAGTGACATGAAAAAACGTAATGGTAAACAGGGTAAAATACCCATTTAGAAATATTATATGCAATAGAGTAGGAATCCAATTATACAAATTGGATAAGCATGGGGAAAGAACTAAAGGAAATCCATCAAAAAGTAAATACTAACTATCTCTGAATAATGAAATTATATCTACTTATTTGTACACTTCTGTACATTTTCAAAATTTTCCAAAATATGCATTATCATCTCCATTATTTGAATAAATTAAAAATGCTCTCCAAAAGTTTGTTTCTCTGGGAAGGTACAGAATTTTCTATTTGTCCAAATCTCTCACAGTTGTGTCTGTTACAGCTTACCATGATTAACCGCCAGAACTTTCCGACTATTCATCTTCACAAAATTTCCGAGGGGAAGCTGGGCATGATCAATCCCATAATCTGATGCTTGTTTATACGTGCAACCCTAAAAAAAGGATCCTGGGGCTTAGACTAGAACATTACATTATTGCAAAATCAAAGTCTCTAGTTCAGAGGCTAATGTCTGAAAAGGGTGAGGTGTGTGTATGTATGTAACTGCTAAGTTGGAAACATTCTCTTAATAATTACAATGTTTAGAGTATTTGTTTTAACTTTTTCAATTCACAAATACTGAGGCCAAATCAATTCTATTCCCAGCCAGTTATATAGATCCTCAGTGAAAAAACTAAGAAAAATCCAGCTCACTTGCCTTTTGACAAAATATGTTTTCACTACTATCTACTGCATTTCTCTGTTTAAAATACTTAGCTAGGCATGATGGCATGGCAGACCTAGAATCCCTGGACCCTGAGGGACTGAGGCAAGAGAATCGCAGGCTGGAGCCCAGCCCTGGCAACTTAGTGAGACCTTGTCTCAAAATAAAAATTGTAATTTGAAAGTTTTAAAAGGGTGCTGTGGGAGTAGCTCAGTGTGAAGGTCATAGGTTCAATCCCCAGTAGCACAATATATAAACAAATAACTGAAACTGAATTCCAAGAAAAGCACTATCACTCCTTCTATGAATATAAAAAATATAAAGAAAATAAATTTCAATTCCTTAACAGTAAGAGGCACAAGTGACAAAAATAGATTCATGAAAACCTGAATGAAAAGGTTTAAAAACCTGTCTATAGATTTTATTTTTCCCTTTCTTTCAATTAAAAATCTGTTGAATAGGAATTTCATCTCTTCTCAAAAATAAAATCTTGATGCCTATGTCTAACTAGGACTGACATGGCCAACATAGCATAAAGGAAAGAGAGAGCTGTATTTCTCAACTACTGGCTTAGATACTGTTATAAACAAAATTATGTTAGTTCAGAAAAACACACAATGTAAGAAAAAGTCTGGTTCTGCACATATCCCACTTGGAAGTCACTTCTTAAGACTTAAATTTAAACTGATTGTCATCTTTAAACTCAGTTTCTCAGTCTGGTTGTGCACATCTCATGCTCTCAAGCCTCACAGCTCCCTCATGCACAGGCAAGGGCAAACATCGGCAACACGGCAGGAAGCTCTATCTGCACAGGAGTAAGGAACTGTTTCTTCCTACTCTCGTGATAAAACAGGCTTTTTCCTTAGCTGAGTTGAACTCAGCAGGCTACGAAGTACAAGATGATGTTTCCCTTCAGAAAGTGCATTTCCTTAGCTTCATTTAAATAAATGTGTGGGACAGGAAGAGAGAAAAGTACAAATTACTGTGTAAGGGAATAGAAAAAAATCTCTTGAAATCTTATACTTAGAAACTGGTATAAGCCAGATATGGTGGCACACACACATGTAATACCAGCACTTGGGAGACCGAAGCAGGAGAATTACTGCGGGTATGAGGCCAGCCAGGGCTACAGAGTGATTTCAAGGCCAGCAAGACCGTGGCTCAAAAAAAAAAAAACTTGTCCTAAATTTCAGTGGGTTAGCAGTACATTAGCCACAGCATCTTACATCCATACAGCAGAGTCCTTAAATATAAGGACTTAGGAGTAATCTGCCTTGTTTCAAACAGTGTGATTTGCCACCTATCACTGTAAATTTTAAGCTTAATTTCTTTGGGCCTTGGAGTCCTCACCTGTGAAATGAAGATAGAAACCATGTTGACCTCACTGAGTTGTACTGAGGATAGGCAGTTAACACACCTAAATCCTTGCTTAGCTTGAAGGGTGATTAAAATAGTAGGTGCTCAATAAATATCAAGAAATGCTGAAATACAAACTTTATGTATGTATAAACAAAATAAGAACACTTAATAGTACCTTGTGATGGTTGTGATCTACCAAACCTCCAATCACATAGGCCTTTGACTCATCTAATTCGTGCAGGATGTTAGGGGAATCTGATGTAAGATAGACCAGGTCTTCTTTTTTTATGAGTTCACTATAGTGCTCTGGTTTGATGTGGATATCCTTTAAAGAACAAGGGGGAAAATGCTATTAACTGATAGGATTTTGTGAAAGTTGGCCAAAAATGATTATTTTCTTTTCCCAAAACAAACTCAATCAAAAACATCTGAAAGGATGTTTAAAAGAATATCATTATAGTACCATTATTTAAAATAGTCTCCTTTAATGCTTATCATTTTACACCTCAATTACTTAAACAGCCTTCTAGTTTTATTCTTCTGTCTCTGGTCTTAAACCTTTCCAATCTACTTCTACATGCTGACAGTTAACTAATTTCTAAAACTACTACTTTCAATGTCCTTATTCCTCACAGATAAAATTCAAACTCTTTAATTTAAATAGTTCTTTCCTGAATAAGGCACTTTCCAACTTTATGCGTCCCAACAAAACAAATGCATTTTTATTATCTATTTACTCATACTGGCTTCTAGCCAAGAAATTTTCTTCAGTTAATTAATTACTTCCTCCCCATCTGCTTGAATCATCAAAAGGAAACTGCTTATAGATTTAAATGTAAATATGTTGGATTGTACACAGATACACATTTGAAAACTTCTCTACCAAAATGATCAGGTTGAAGGGATAAGATTGAACAACAGTTGGCAGCCATGATTTCGCAAACCACATTAACTGCTCAGAAGTATGGCCAGGCTCTGGTGACTCTTCCCCAATAACTTTTAAAGAAATCAAGAAAGAAGCAGGCACCTATAATGCATCATTTACTTATTCATAAAAGCCACTTTCTGGAAGACAGTATACTATAAATCTGACCCCTACACTTGATAAGGGCCTCAACAGGGACTGGTGTAACAAGAGACCAGTGAATCTCCTATTTCTCTGGAAAACTGATGATGCAAATCATAAACTGAACAAGACATAAAATAACTCTAAGTATGTCTATTCTTACATTACTGTGGTGTCTCAGTTCATAAACACTTTTATTTGAAAGCAGAGTAGTTTGCAAACAGAAGCATTTGACAAAATTTTATTTGCAAACTCTACATCAGGTGATGAACACAACTGCAGCCATCTTTTTCTTTTTTGCATGAACACAAACATGGCCATTTTCCCCAGAATTATGGAACAAATTAAGTTCATGAACAAGGTACCACTCTTATTTCTTAGAAAAAGGCATGAGCATAGAAGATTTGGTGAATACATTGTATCTATAAACTTAAAAAGCCTTTGAAATTGTTCATATTAGAAGTTATTAATAAAATAACATAGCCATTATGGGATTCGTGTGAGAAGAACCTGGTACTTCCCCGGTGAGAAGAGTCCTGCAGGAGTTAGTACTAAGTCACTCTATTTACATTTGTGCAAATGACTGAGAACAGTCAGGGCAAGAGAAAAACTATAAGCAACATTTATAATTTAAATTTTCTAGTAGCTACATTTAAAAAGTGAGGAGGAAAAAAAACAGCAAAAATAATTTTAATAATATATTTTATTAACACAATATGCTCATACTATCACGTAAGCATATAATAAATGTTTTAAGTTAGATAAAAGCTCTATTTCTTTGTCTCTCCCTCCCCTCCTCTGAAATCCAGTATTTCACATTTATAGCACATGGCAATTCACATTTCAAACTATTACCTCATTTCAAAAGCTCAACAGCTTCATGTGCCTAGGGGCACATATTGGACAGCTCGAATCCAGACACATTTTCAACTTTACACTTACCCATATGTACCACAAAGCTAGTCTACTAGGGGGAAAAGCAAACTTTAAAAATTTTTCCTTTTTAAAGTGTGTTTTAAAGTTGGCAACAAGGCAGCAAGTAAGACTTAAAGAGTGCAGGTATGAATTAACAGATACTTCATTCTTTAGCTTTTTCAATATATATCTTTAGACTTAGGTACACTGACATTTAGGTACAGTGATATTATTTAGAATGTATGTACAAATGTAGGGCTTTCCAAGTGTGGAGATACTTGGGATTATGTGTGTTATGGTTTATGTCTGTGTGTCCCCCCAAAGCCTCAAGCGGCCATGGGGCAGACTTTTAGAGTTTGATGGGTGTGAGAGCTACACCCACCCTGGGGTGGATAGTTTGCATATGTAAGGGAGAGGAAGAAGCTGCTTGAGGACATTCCTCCCCCATTCCTGGCTTTTGTTTTGTTGCTTTGCTGTGTTCTGCTGCCCTGAGCTGTAGCTCTCTGCCATGTGCCACTCTGCCTTATAATCTGCCAAATATGGACTGAAACCTCCACAAACTGTAAGCGAAATAAACCTTTCCTTCCTTAATTTTGCGAGTCAGGTATTTTGTCCCAGCAACGAGAAAAAAGTAACCAAGACAATGTGAGAGCTGGACTGTTTTCATTACCTTCCAGTTGACCCATCCTTTGTCATTGTCATCCATGTTCTTTTTCAACTGGCCTCCATGGCTTGTCAAGTAAAACTGGTAAGAGATTGGCATGCATAGAAAAAGAGAAAATCATCACTTAAGCCCAATGTTTTATTTCCCTTGTACACTCATCTGATCAGCAATGAGACACAAAATATACTCTCACTGACCTGGGAAAAAAATAATTTGTGACATACTTTGAGTATACAAGAAATCTGAGGTAGATGTGACATTCTGTGGGTGCCTCTCATGATCCATTAACATCAGGATTCCTCTACATTTAGTCCCACTTTGAAGTAGCTGTGATCTGATCTCCACAGTCATCAGGTCTCTACAAACTTACTGCCTCCATGTCAAGCTGTCAATGACTTCATCCTTTTTTGGCACCACTATTACTTTTCTTACTAGTCCAAAGTATTTAAAATTTAATTTCAAACCCCAATACTTATTTTAAACCAAGTTATAAGGGGCTATGGATAAAAATGAGGATTCAAAACCTATCATGGAAATACAACATTATAAAATACAAAAATTATAACTACTATCACGGTTAAAAAAAAGGATCTTAACATTAGTGAGCCTGTATTCTTCACCCCAGTTTACAAAGTACTTTTCAAATTATGACTGACCCCAAAAGAAACTATGGTCCTTTAAGCACACAAAACTTACATAATAGGAGCTAGTGTACACATCGGAGAAGGGAGCCCTAGCGCTCCTGTTGCCCTTTCCCACCTCCCAGCACTAGATGGAGCTGAGAGCCCAGAAGTGGATGAAAACACAGGCATATCCTGCAGTGAAGATGTTCAACAACACAGTGGTAGAGAGGGCACTCTGGCAAGACTGACGATGACTGCGACAAATGTTCTCAAGAGTGATACAGGAGAAAACACATTGAAATATTTGCATTTTTGTAGAAAAAGAAAACATTCAAAAACTCATTAAACAAGATGATCTACAAGACTCTTGCAAAGCCAAATGGAACTGTCTACATCTTTTGTCACGAAGGACATAAATGGAACTGGACTGTTTTAAACTCCTCGGCCATACCTGCACAGGATGCAGCGCTCTTCGGTTTTCTGCATAACATCTCTGAATCTGCTTATGGAGTTTCTTAATATCCTAAAAAAAGAGCATTAATATGTAAAACATAAAATTATCTATGGCCATTCCATGAGATTAAAAAAACAGAATAAGCAAAGCACTGCATACATAGGATGAATGTTGCTTCTTAACCACTATTCTGACAATTTTCATAGACTTCCTTGCATACTGACAAGATCACTGTAAGTTAATACTTTTCCTGTCCCATCATTTCATATTTGGTATCATTTAAAACGCTCCTTCAGGAAAAATATCTAAAGAGACAACAAGCAACACGCTACTACTGTTTTCACACTTTACCAATGGCACTGGAAAAATCCCATAGATCCGTACAATTAATATGCAGTTACTGACTTTTATCATCTAATTATGGAACGGATCTATCCATCTATACATATATAAACACACATACATATAAACTGTACACATATATCAAAGCAATTTATTAACTAATTTAAGGGGCAGATTTTTAAAAATGTGACTAGAAATGTACATGCATTACAAATTAATACATGCATTACAAATTAAGAATGATTTAGCCTCATTCACCTACTGGATTTTTCTGACAATGATTCATGATACCTTTAAGACCATCAAATTATCGAAACTACAGTCGATGATAAGGCGGAGCGTGCTGTGAACAACTTGTCTTCGAGCACGTTTCCTGTCATTTCCATCTGAGTTTGACTCCATTTGGCACTGTCGTTCTAACTTCTTTCTCTTGCGTTTTTCCTTCCGCTTTTGTCTAAAATTAGTAATTGAAGTAACTTTTTGTTAATTCTATATTTAGGTATTCATAAGTAAAACAAAGAAATTACTTTTTAAAAAGTTGAACAACTTTTTTAAAAGTAGTTGAAATTTGTTACTTCTGTGGGTCAAAAATCGTCAAGTATCTGTATTAGCAATTCTTTTTAGCTCATCTAGCAACTTTATACAGGAAACACTTTGCAAAATAATCTTAAAACTTTCCGAATCCTAACTATACTCCTCAATAGTTTCATTTACTGCTGGCATCAGTGTCTCCATGAAAGCCTTATAATACTAAATGTGACTATGATGGATTTTACTTTCATCACTCATTCTTCACATGGTTTTCAAGCAGCACTCATTAGGTATAAAAAATAGTTATTTTTAAATTCATTTTTTCCTATCTATATCACCTAGAGTTTAGTTTCTCTTATAAATTTTGGCATCATACAAAGCTAAAGACTAAATGTTCCCATAAAAACTCATTCTAGCAAAATCCATGTTAGGCTAAAATCTGATCTGAATTGGTTATTTTTATTCCATGTCTAGGATATACTCTCTATATCCCTTATCTAAGTTAATTACTTCAGAAATTGTGCTGCCACTCACAATGTCTTGGATGAGTAAATACCATACACTGAGTGTAAGTTCAACACTGCTTTAAAAAAAGTAGTAATTTAAGCTATAGACAGCTTTACCAGCCAACTGACAGTGTTAGCTAATTATACAGATAACCTCAATTTCATGAATCCAATACTTTTAATATGTCAAAGTGCTACACAAGGTCCAACATTCCACATTCCCAAACAGGACAGGGCACCTGCACACACTGGAACACGTACTTGCGGAGTTCTCGTTGTTCCTCCCATTGCTTCTGCTTCATGAGCTTCTTCATTCGTCGTTTAGATACTGGCTCAACCCCTTCATTCACTCTTGGTTTCTGTCTCTCCTTTTGCTGATCTTCATTTAAGTCTTGCTTTCTTTCAGCAACAGAAGTCTCAATAAAATCTGGTGAGGTTTCAGATGACATTATATGGTGTCTCTGAAAAACTGAAAAGTAATTTTTGACATAAACAGGTAATTTACAAACATATAATGTAAAAAAACTGAAATGACCAACAGATGTGATTAATAGTCACCTAAAGCATGAACAGAGATCAATGTTAATTAAAATGTCATTTGTTGCCAAAGATCATTTTAATACCATTTAATATCAAATAAATATCATTCAATGGTAACGATGGTAAAGGTCTGAGCAAACAGAATGTTTTCATATATTAGTGGTGGTTATCATGCAACTTTTTCAGAAGGCTGCACAGTTTTTTGTTTCAAACATTTTAAAACAGAACTTTAAAACACTGACCAAATAATTTATTTTTGTAGAATAAATTCCTATGAAGAATCAGAAATGCACATGGAAAATGCACCAGAGGATATATGCTGTTATGTTATTTTTAGCAGAGGAAAGTTAGAAACTACTTAAATGTCAACAAAAGAATAAGTAAGTTATGGTTCATCTATAACAGGCACGAAGAATACTAAGCAGTCTGTAAAAATCATATTTCCAAAACTAATGATAGAGAAATAGTTATATTTTGAATATATTCATTACTCCAACTATTTAAAAATAATATATCTACTACATTATTTGAAAGGTATACACAAACATGTTTAATTCTTACTCATGGTTTTCTACATTTTGTTTTATATAATAAAAATATTGTTTTTATAAAAGAAAACAATTATTTTAGAAAAGAGATGGAAGCTAGGCATGCTGGAACAAACTTGTATCCCAGCTACTCGGGACACTGAGCCAGAAGGGTCGCCAAGTTTAAGGTTAGTCTGGGCAATTTAACAAGATTGTCTAAAAAAAAGAAAAGGGCTACTGATGCTGCAGCTCAGCTGGAGCACTTGCCTAGTATACATGCGGCCATGGCCTCAACACCCAGTGGGGGGCAGGGGGACAAAACAAGAGAGAGCCGGAAAAGCAACTTTTCTGTAATCTTTAACGCTGCAGAATGAGGGAAGAAAGAACATTTCATTATCTGGTTGTACACTAACAATGGGCTTTAACTAAAGATATTGTGGGATTTATAGATTTGGACAGTACAGACAACAAATTCAGTTTTCCCTCCAGTACATTTGATTATAAATACATGAATATTCCACTTTAGTCATGGCTGAAAAAACGAACCATGAAAATTGACTCTGTCATCTGTCTGGTTTGTAAAATACCTAGGGTCATCTCAAATGTATCTTCACTGGAATCTAACCACACTTATCTTCAAACCTGCCTAGAAGTAAACTTGCCTTCAGATTAGGGAGAGGTTAGAATACTGAAATTTCTTTTCTCTTCAATAGATTATTTATACCAAAGCTTAAAAATATAATTTGTTATTTATTCTCACAAAAGACTAAGCATGATGCTACTAAATGTTTACTGGCCTTAAGAAAAATTATTTGATTCTTCCTTCCTAAAGAATTGGCTGATGAATCTATACAAAGATAAAAAAACAAAATTTAAGTAATGAGTGGAACTGGCTGATAAATCTATATACAGATGCTACTAATAAAAGAAAAAAACCCAAATTTAAGTAACAAAACATTTCCCAAATACAATTTACAATTTAAGCAGTGTTTTTTTTTTGTTTTTTTGTTTTTTTTTCTCAGGTAGCGGGAACCGAACTCACGACCTTGTGCTTGCCAGGCAGGCGCTTTTGCCGCTGAGCTAAATCCCCAGCCCCTTAAGCAGTGGTTTTCTTATATGGTTGTTGCTTGTCAGCCCTAACATGGTGGTTGGTATTGTTTGGTCCTTATTATATACTGGCAGAACAAACAATTGAGTAAACATGGCAGTACAAAATATTTTTTAAAGTAATGAAATGTTTGCTAATTCTTATTGGGCTTAGTAAAGGATTCACTATCTACTTCTCTTTAAAACAACTCTGTGAAGTTGAAAAGCATTGTGCTCAGTCTAAAAAGAGTAAGGAGTGAGGCTAAATAACCTCCCCAGCATTACAAAACTACTGAATAAAACCTAAGGAACAAACCTAGCACAAAGCACATACTCAAAATACTCGGTAAAAAACATATGAATGAAGTAATAGAGTTAGGATTCAAACCCAGATCCAACTGTACTAACTCCCAGGACGAAACCCTTATCTTAAAAAAAAGAGCCTTAAGGGCTGAGCAGATAGTTCAGCGGCATAGCACCTGTCTGGCAAGCGCGAGATCGCGAGTTTGAGAGTTCCATTCCAGTACCAAAAAAAAAAAAAAAGAAAGAATAAGAAAAAAAAGAGCCTTAGCCAGGCGGGGTGGCACATGACTGTACTCACAGAAGAGGTATGGTTGTTAGTTTCAGGCCAGCCTGGGGCTACAAAGTGAGTTCAAGGCCAGCCTGAACTGCACAGTGAGGCCTTGTCTCAAACAAACAAACAAAACCCAACACCATAAACAAGCCTCAAATAGCTGTGCTGCTTCAATTTTGATGAAAAAGGGCTCAGATCCGTGCCACTGAAACCTAAGAAAAAATACCTCCAGTTCTATCTCTCTGCCCCTGAGTTAATTTTTTAAAACTAGAAAATAAGATCAGTATTCAATTTGAGAAATTGCAGACAGGAGAAATAGCTTTAAAAGATCAGAAGGAAAAAATTTTTAAGACATATATATTGTGATGCCTAGAATCACTTTTATTTTACTTCCATATATGGTACATTAAATAAAACTTAGCAATGTATATAAAACAATACAGGTGAAGAAAACATACATCCCATTAAATTAAAAAAAATTAAGATTCTTAGGGGAAAATGCTCTTTTTATAAAATAATATTTCAAGAAAGCAGTAGTAGCAACACTATTAGTAGCAACATTTTTGGCTAGTTCTCTATTTTGTTCAAAAACTGTAAGTGTTGATTAGCTCTATAATGTTAGAATTTAAAAAGCAATATAAGGCAATATTTTACACCACATGTACACCAGGGGGAGCATTTGCCTTCCCAATCTAAGAAATCTCGAATTAAGTTTAACTTGACCAACTACAGCGTTGGTAGTGTTTTTAGCGGCCTATGAAATAGTACAGGGAAAAACCAGGAACTAGTCAACGTTAATTTTTAAGCTATTCTCTTAAGAAAATGAATTGCACTAAGTGAATTTTCTAAGCTTTAAATAAGCTAGTCATTGAAACCAAAGTAGAAGGTAGCAAAAATGATACTAGCTTGATATAAATTACTATGCACCAACTCGGACCATCTAAGCTACAAACACTTCACGACGCACTAATTTATATGGATTACCTGTCACGCAAAATATTGCACTTTGCTAAGTATGCATGCTAAGTTTTAATTTTGATCGCAATTCAGTCTCTATGCAGTTTTGTCTTTCTCTGATATCGTTTGTTACAGTACATTTTCATTTAAGTCAACTTCAACAAGTATTAAAGAACGTATTTTACAGTTACTATAAGTGTTCGTGTGAAATTTAGCTCTAACAAAATTAAACACTTAGTGGGCTCATTCTCAGATTCAGGTTATCTGGTGGACTCAGGAAACGAAGAACCGAATGAAGACACTAAGGTCACTTTGAGCGAGACGAACAGACGAACAGCCTCTCACATTCCCTGGTGTATTTGTGCCTTTCATTACAGCTCAAGGAGAGAAGACACATACTAAACCAGAAAAGGCCAGGAAAAAACCTGCAAAAACTTTTACCAAGCGGCCTACGATACACGTCCCGGCCTCTTAGTACTCGGCCTTCCCTCCCTCCCGGAAGACGTAGACTCCCGCAGGGCAGCTACAAGGCGGGACCGGGTCGGACCGCGGCTACTGCGCCGCCGAAGCTGCGGCGAGGAGGGCCGGGCAGGGCAAGCCAGGAGACGCGATCCCTATTCTAAGTTTGGGAGGAATTCCTGAGTTTTAAACATAGGCATTTCGTAAACTGCAAGAATCTCTTCGATGTTCCTTAAACGACTCCTACTCCGCGCAGCGAGACCCCACAGTGAACTCTCCCGCCACCCTCCCGAACTACTCTGTGGAATTACATTCTTATGGTCGCCCACTGCGCAGGGGCAGAGCCGCGCACGCCGTAGCGCACGCCGTCGCTTTCACACCGCTCGCATGCGTGCGAGGCCCAGAGGCGGGGTTAAACCACAGAAAGCCAATCAGAGGTGGGTAAGAAGGCGGGGAGAGGGGGAAAGGGGTACGCCCTATGACGTCCCTTCCCTCCGGAAAAAGATGGCTGCAGATGTTCACTCAGGTCCACTTCCCTTATTGTCAGCGGACGGCGGCAAGCACGCTCCCCCTTTTGCCCCAAAGAATACCAAGGGGAAAGCGGATAGAGGTATTAGATTTACCTGTCCGAAGAGTGGGTGGGATATGTGGAGCAGGCTCAGAAGGCCCTCCTGAAGTGGTCTTTATCTCGCTCGCGAGTATTCCTTTGGAAACTTCAACTCCCAGAGGCAGAGGCGGAAGCTCCTCTTTCGAGGCTTGGGCGCGTGCGACTCACGTCATCGCCTTGCGCCGACGCCGGACTCTGTTGGGGGTGTGGGGGGCGGGGCTTGAAGGTGGTGCTTGGGACTGAATGGCGGCGGTGTCTTGGGTTTTGGGGTCTTGGCTGTGGCGGCGTCGGTTTTTTTTCCTTTCGGGAGGTGAACGTGCTCCTGTGGGGCTTTATTCATTCGTGTACTCTGGTGGGAATGGAGGAGAGGGCTAAGATGTTCTGGCTCTTAAAAGTTAAAAACAGGACGGACACGAAAGGCTCTGAATTCTTCAGTTGAAGATGAGAAAAGTATTTCTTGCCTACATTATTTCTCGCTTATACAGAGGAAGATTACTAGTATCCATGAGTTTAGATAAGCAGAAAATTAAAGGAGTCAAACTAAAAATAAATAACATATTTAAGCTGTACAGGTCATATCCATTCACTCTTGAACAGTTTCCTGTGCTGTTTTGCGGAAGATCAAGCGACGTTTCATTGTTTGCAACCCCCGACCTTATGTAATCTTTTGCTATATATAGACCGAGTCAACTGTGAGAGAAATGAAACACAATCCTGTAGACTGTTTTTTATCTGTTTTCTTATTTGGACATATTTTTAATAGGTCGTTGTAGAATTTGAAGATAAAAATGAGGTTTGAATCTTTGAATAGAAATCTATTCAGTGTGGAAAGACTTCAGTTTTTGTTGTGGTTTTGGTTTGTTTTCTGAGAAGGTCTTGCTATGTAGTTCAGGCTGGCCTTGAACTCACTATGTAGCCCAGGCTGGCCCCGAACTCAGCGATCCTCTTGCCTCAGCCTCCTGAGTGCTGGGCTTACAGGCATGCACCCCTCCCCCCAATTTTTGTTAATACTTGACATTTGAACATGTTTAGAGGAGTCTGTTAATAGAAAATTTAATTAAAAATTTGAGAGTCTCTGAAAGAATTGAAACTTCTCTAAAAACAAGTCACTTGCTTTAAACTCAAATTGTATTTAAAAAACTGTGAGCTATAAAACGTGTAGGTCCCATCTGTTTCTAACTCATTTCAAATCTAAATGGTCTCAGTTAACTGTGCATTGGCGGTGAGGTCTGGATCCTTTTCTGATTTGTTCGTAGGGCATCTTTTTTCAGCTGCCTCCATATCAGGGCAGAGAGTAGCTGAGAGAGGATTAGTAATTGGATCTGTAGCCCTTCACATGTAGGTCATTAAATTCAGCTTGGCACAGTGATGTGCCAGATTTCAACAGCTGTTCAGTTGCTCCTGTGGGATCTGTTTTATAAATATTGACACATTTTTTCAGATGTAATGCCTGATATCCTTAGGTATTTAAGACAATTGTTAATTTACCAAAAAAATCCTTACTTTTTAATGAGTCAATAAATTAACTTTTGATTTAACCATTTAATAGTCATATGGTCAAAATTTTAAGATTCTAGACTCAATTCAAAGCCAGCACCAAAATAGTATCAAAAAATGTGTTTCACCAAAGAATGAAACATAAAATGTTTAAGGTGAAATCATATGATACATAAATCCTCCTTTATCTGTAAAATTCACATTTATTTAACACATTTGATAAGTTACATGCTTGTCTGTCTTCTGGTGATACAGAGATGACTAAATCATTATCCTTGTCCTTAGGAAATCCTTAGTCTAGTGGAGCCAGAAAGAAAGAAATAAATGCTATCCAATATATAATGTACATGAAATCCTGCTAATAGCAACAGCTAACTGCTTGTTGAGGCAGAGGACATAGTTCAGATACTTAGTAATTTTGATCCATCTTGGAAAGTAAATAGTAGTTTTCCAGATGTCAGGAAGGGAAAGAGGTTTAAAACCCTAGCCACAATGACAGCGAAGACCTAAATGTGTCATAATTTTGCATATGAATGACAAAAAGCTGTAGGTAAAATGAGAAGGAAGAAAGAATAACCCTAACAATTTTTCTAGTTTGGACAACTGTAGGGATGTAATTCTGTTAACTGGGTTGTTTAGGGAATACTAGAAGAAAATTAGGTTTTAAAAAAAATGCTAAATTTGATTTTGAATGTGTGGATTCTGGGGAGTATGCAGGACATCTCAATAACAATATTTAAAAATCAACAGCATGTATTTACAGTTTAAACCAATGAAAGAGGGTGTCCATGGGTAACAAGCTTATGATGTCTCTGGAGGCTGGAGGATAAGTACATGAGAGAAGTGCTCTGGGAGGAAAGTGTCACAAGAGTGTACCTCCTCTTCAACCAGGGGAAAGCTAAGTGAGGCTGTGAACCTCATGACATCAGATTTCTCTTTAAGAGCATCCAGAATTCTGAATTTGTGTGTGAAATCTGGTTTGTAAGTATTGGCAATTATTTTTTTAAATAGCCATTATAGTTAACCATATGGAAGTTTCCAAAGAAATCAAAAATAAAACTACCATGACCCAGCAACCTTCATCTGGACATACAAAAAAGATCATCATCTCATACAGATGTCTGTACTCCCATGTTTGTGAGAGCATTATTCACAGTAGCAAAGATACTGAAGCAACCTGAGTGTCAACACTGAGTGTCAGCACATGAATGGATGAACTGCATTGAACACATGGAATGGAATATTATTTAACCCTAAACAGTGAAGATCATGTTCTCTGCCACAACATGGATGAGCATGGAGGACATTGTACTAAGGAAGTTAGACACAGAACGAAAAAGATTGTATGACCTGACTTATAAGTGGAATGTTTTAAAAAATCCAAATATACAGAAATAGCAAAACAATGGTTACCAGGAGTTGGGGGCCGGGGTAGGCCAGGGGATATGAGTAGCAGATGTGTGGGGTGAACAAGTCTAGAACTCAGATGCACACTTCAGTCATGAAGTTGTTCTGTAGGTGGCATTCATACTGAATGAGTACATTTGAGTTGCTCTTGCCACCAAAAACCATCAAAAATGGGTAACTGAGATGAGGATATGTTAATTTGTTTGTATGTGCCCCATAACGTCATGTTGTATGCCTTTAAATATAACAAAATAAAATTTAGGTAAAAAATAGAAATAAAGTATCTGGGTTAGCAACAAAAAATAAATACCAAGCAGCTGACAAAAAAACTTAGTAGTAACCATGTTCAGACAATTGGCAGCCAGTTAAGCTGGCCACAGACTGTCGAGTGAGAAGAGGCTACAGATAACATCAGAATTACAGGACACATGAACAGGTGTATAAATACCATTTAAACTCAGTGCTTCTCCCTATGTTTGGTCATATTGGGCGATCATCACAAATTCCATTACTGTAAATTGGATTCTGATTTTAAGTCTGAGCATATTCTTCAAGTGGGAGAAGGGAAGTGGGGGACAGCATGACATTTGTGGGTATATTAATTTCAGACTAAGAAAGCCAAAAAGGAGCCTGTTTTTAAACATGACCTGAAAGGTTTCTAAAAAGAAGATTCAGGTTCTCATCTATATTCATTTCAACATGCATTCTGATTGAATAAAAGTACCATGACCCAGCAGCCCTCATCTGGACATACATACAGAAAAAGTGAGGCCACCATCTCACACAGATGTTTGTACTCCCGTGTTTATGAAAGCATTATTCATAGTAGAAAGGTGGAGAAGCAACCTGAGTGTCTGTCAACAGAACAAATGAAACTGCCCTGAACCCATGGAATGGAATATTATTCCACCCTAAAAACAATGAAGATCATGCTTCATTGAATAAAAGTAAAGTTTAACCTGTGTTTTAATTTTTTTTGATACTGAAGATTGAATCCAGGATCTTTGCACTAAGCTACATTCACAACCCTTTTTAATTTTATTTTGAAACAGAGTCTCAAACTCAAACTCGGAGTCTCCCCAAACTGGGCTCAACTTTGCACTCCTCCTGCCTCAGCATCCCGGAAGACTGAGATTTCAGGTATCTGCCACCATGCCTGGCTTAAAATGTATTTTAAATTATTCTTCCAAATAATACATAAATACTCTAGGAAGTATTGAAGACTCTAGAAAATGATCAGAGAGGCAATGTAGTCTCTGAACCTCCAGAACACTCTGATAAAAACAGACTGAACCTCTATGATGGCCAAACAATAATAACAGTCCCAGTTCATGGTCACAATGTAACTAGATTCAAAACAAAACAAAACAGTATCTACAAACTTTACAATATTAGCAGGTGGGGAGAAATTAACAATAGCATTTGTGTGGGAGAAAATGAAGGGAAAGCAACAGAACATTGGAAGACCCCAAGAAGGGGAAGCCCCAGATATATCAAATATGTGCTGAAAGGCAAAGGAGATCAGTATGAGGTCAGCAAAATGTTCAGGGAGTCTCTGACTAAGATCTGAAACTGTAAGTATAAAGGGATGAGTAGGAAGTTCTAAAGTTGCTGGAATGATGCATCACTTAGAAACTCTGAAAGCCAACCAACCGGAGCTCCTTTCCGAGACAAAGCCCAGGACTAAGAAGAAACTGCTAGGTGTGGGCTTCAGATTGGATAGGATGGGGAGGCAGAGGAGAAAAAACAGGTCCAAGTGAAAGTGGGAAAAAAGAGAGGAAAAAAAAATTGTCATTTTATGAAAGTACCAGAAAAGGGGTCTAGAACTGTGAGGCTAGAGAAGCTATCCTCACTTCTTCCTAAATGCACAGAATGATTTAGTTAAAAATACATCTTGGAAAAGAATTATGGCTAAATTCCATTTAAGGGGCAATGAACCGAAGTGGAAAGCAGATGAAAACCAGCACCTACCATTTCAAAACAAATTTGAATAAATTTCTAAGTGATAAATGTCATGAAAGAATAGCATAAAACAAAAACTGAAATAAAATGACTCAAGGAAAGATTTTAAAAGGCATAACAGAACCCAGAAACCAGTATAAAATATGAAAGGGTCCATCCATATTCAACATTATACTGGAAGTCCTAGCCAATGCAATAACAAAGTGAAAGGAAAGGAGAGAAGAAATAAAACTGCTTCCAAATGACCTGTGGCTATGTTTTTAAAAATCACCCCAAATCTTTGTTAAACTAATGAGCAATTATAGCAAAGTTTTAGGATTCAAAGTTAATATACAAAACTCAGTTGCTTTCCTATGTACCATTAACGCATAATTAGAACTTGAAATTGAAAACAAAATCACCAAAAAAAGAAATAGGTATAAATCCAAAAGTATTTCTAGAGGATCTCTACAAAGAAAGTTGAAAAAGTCTGATGCAAGAAATAAAATGAGATCTAAATAAATGAAGGGATCTGATGTATTCATAGATTAGAAATTTATTGTAGAAAGCACAGAGCTACACTTATACCACACCTAGGGTCCAGACCTTGATGTCTCGTGCCCTTCTTCGATAAAAGGAGCCAGAAGTGCCTGGAGAATTGACTGCAGTAAACATACACAAAGTGAACTGGCAGCATAGGAATGCTATAAAAGCAAAATCAAAGAGAAAACAAAAGCAGACCTATTGACATGGTAACCACCAAAGGTACACGGGCGCCAAACTGAAACAACTCTCAATGCTAAAAACCAGCAATTGTAGCAACAAATTAAATAAAGTAGTAGTGGATTATAGCCCAAACTATAAAATAAATATACATGAGTTCATACTGATAAAAATGCACAAATAAACAAATAAATCAGGAAGAGAAGTTATATTTTTCACACAGAATTCCAGTTTTATAGCTACTCCACTCTCAAGGAGGAGCCCAGGTCTTCCACAGAGTTCAGGATGGGAAGGAAGGTGAAACAAGAAAACCTAACACGGTGAAATCTAGTAACACTGCTCACAGGTGACTAGATCACTGTAAACAGGTAAGTCATATTAATAATTCTGCCCCACATCATCAGAGATGATCTAATGAGAGTGACGTTTTACCTCTGTGGTTTCCCCTCCTCCAGATTTATAATTCATATCCCAGTCAAAGCACCAGAAAAACTATCCCAGAAATTCTCATAAAAGAGCATTTTAAGCCTGGCAGGGTGGTGCACACCTGTAATCCCAGCACTCAGGAGGCTGAGGCAGGAGCATTGCTGTAAGTTTGAGGCCAGCCTGGGCTACAAAGTGAGCACAAGGCCAGCCTGAACTGCATAGCGAGACCTTGTCTCAAAAAAAAAAAAAAAAAAAAAAGGAAAATATTTTTAAAGCAAGATGTATAAATAAGGTCAAAGAAGGAAAATGCAGGTGTAAACAAACCATACTTCCATCTCTCAGAGCTAGTTACTGTGTTCGATGCCTATTCTATGCATATATATATACATCTGTGTTAAAAATTTATCTCACACTATACCTGTGTCTGCTCTCAAGATATGGTAAACAGGTATGTACACATACTTCCATTATTTTAAGTGGCTTTGAGCTGAAGTGATATACCATAATTGAACTAATTTTTGATGTTGGATAAATATTATAATATTTAAATTTTCAGTATACCACACAATGAGGTGACATCACTTTCAGGTTATTCTTGTGTACTTAGGGTTAGGCTTAACTCCACAGACATTATTATTATTGAGGTTATAGACCCACTGTGTTTCCTCACATATTTATTTTTTTTCTGTGGTCTTCATTCCGCTTGAATCTTAGAATCTATCCAGGGCCACTTTTTTTTTTCTGATTTGAAGTAAGTTTTTTGGAGATGTCTTACAAATTGACAATCACTTTCTCATGGCACACTGAAGACTGCATTATACAGTCCTTAATTTCTGTTGTTGCTATTAATGAGCTAGCAGTTACCTATATCTCTTGTTCCTTTAAGGGAATCTGTTTTACTTATCTGGCTTTAAGTATTTTCTCTTTCTCTTTGATGTCTGCACTTTCATTATGATGTGTTATGTGTGCGTTTCTTTTAATTATCCTAGTTGAGGTTTACTGAGCCTATAAGTCTCTCTACTGGTATCCTTAATGGCCAGAAAAATTGTTCCCCAAAAAGTCCATATCTTAACCCCCAGACCATGTGAATATCTATGTTAAGGCTGTAGATGAAATTAAGGTTGCTAAATAGCTCACTTCAAGATACAGAAAATATCCTGGGTTATCCAGGTGAACCCTGTATATCCTAAAATGTTTATAAGCTGGAAATGAAAGAAGAGGTGGTCAGGGCAATAGGATGTGAGAAGGACTCAACTCGCTCTTGCATGTTTTGAAGGAGAATTGGTCCATGGGCCAAGGAGTGCAGGCAGCTGCTAAATGCCAGAAACCAGAAATGGGAGGAAAGATTCCTCCTAAAGTGTCTGGAAAAGAGAGGGGAGGGGAAGAGAGGAGAAGAGAGGAATGTACCCTACCAACACCTTCATTTCAGCCAAGTGAGACCACTGTTAGAAGTCTGACTTCCAGCCTAGTAAGAGAATAAATTCATTGTTGTAGATCACTAATTGTGTAGTAATTTATTATACCAGCTGCAGATAACTAAACCAGCATTTTTTAGCATTGTTTCCTCAAATATTGCTGTCACCCCACTGTACTCTACGCTCTGTATCTCTTAACTTCTCCTTAATGTTTACTGTCTTCCTATTTTCATGGTTATTGAAAAGCAATTGGCTTCTGTCTCTACTTCAGATAAACTCACATTTTTGTATCTATACTATTTCCCCGAAAATAAGACCTACCCAGAAAACAAGTTCTAACATGATTTTATTTATTTTTTTGATTTTTTTTTTTTTTATTTTAAGGATAAAAGGAGGGAAACATTAACAGACATACAACATTTTACAACATATCACAAGCACAATACAGACAATACAGAGTTACAAACAAAGTGGTAGGGAATTAACAATGGTGGTTGTATTACATATTGATATCTTCAAAGTGGCTTCTCATGAAAACAGATATAGACATGCAATACTGGTCAACCAAAGACTCATTGACAGTTTCTCTAACATGATTTTAGAAGAAACATCCTCTGAAAATAAACCCTATTGCACAGTTTAGAGTAGAACATGGAAATGCAAACAGTGCTTATTTTCGAGGGATGTCGCCTCTAAAATCATGTTAAAACTTGTTTTCCCAGTAGGTCTTATTTTCAGGGAAACAAGGGTACATATTTATCAGTAGGCCATTAATCTGTGTTATATAGACAATTTTAAAAGAAAACTGTATTCGTAGCTAATATTTTATTTTAGGTTCTAAAGTTTCCTTTTATAAAAAACTCTTATTTTGATCAAAATTAAAAATTTATTCTTTTTACAGTAGTGTTCTGAAAAAGCTCCCATCAATTCTGTCCTTTAAGTACTAGCAACTCAGTTTGGAGTGGCCAAAGATAATATTAAAGTAGAATCCTTCTAGGTTGACTAACATGACGCAAAAGGATTTTTTGATTGTTATCAAAAATACATATATTTGTATGAGGGGATAAAGTGTGCTTAATAAATCTATTTTGAAAAAAAAGTAACTGTTTAGAGCTGTTTCCTCTGTGTGTGTATGTGTGTGTGTGTCTGTGTGTGTGTGTGTCTGTGTGTGTGTGTGTGTATGTGTGAGAGAGAGAGAGAGAGAGAGAGAGAGAGAGAGAAAGAGAGAAAGAGAGAGAGAAAGAGAGAGAGAGGGAAGGAGGGAGGGAGAATGAGAGAGACTGATTGTGCATCCAGGGCTCTGCCACTGATTTACATTCCCAGCCCCTTCTATTTTATTTGAATTTTGAGGCAGGATCTCACCAAGTTGGCCAGGTGAGCTTATGATCCTGAGCTTTAACTTGTGAGCCTCCTACCTTAACCTCCCAAGTATCTGGGATTGCGAGTGTGCTCCACCATTCCCTTTTGTTTTTCCCATTTACTTTTGTTAAGGAAAGATTTAATGAGTCTATTTTCTCAATGAGAATTCCTTTAGAATACCTGTTAAAATAGTGCATGTAGTGTTTTACGGTTTTATGTTGGTATGAAAGAGGTTGTCACATTATAAAAATATTCACTTACTAACAGGATTCCTTAGAAATGCTAGTCCCTTTTTGAACTGAAAATACTAGTAGACTTCAAATTATTATACCTTTTAGCAATCATTTACAGTGTCGTCCGTAAAACAAAAACAAAATGTTATTTTAAACATGACATGCCTCTTTCTAAGAACGAAACAAAGCTTTCTGATGATGTAAATAGACCTTTTCTCCTCATTTAGTTGTACATCCTGACTTGTCACGGCTGTATTAGTAAGGTAATATATTTCCTTTCAATCTTGAGTGGGGGTAAAGTTCATTTATCTTTTTAACCTAGGAATATAAGTTAACACCTGTTAACAACTTACGATACTCAACAGAAACACAACTGTACTTTGGAACTGGCATCTATCTTTGTTTCATAGTGCCCTATTTATCGAGGCAAAGTGGTAGAACAGTAAATATTTCAGTGTTATGTGCCACCAAAGAGATTTCTTGCCAATAGCACTGTTTTAAAATGTATTATTTGATTTTCACTCTAGCACAAATCAATTTCCCCCCTGTATTGTCAGCCTAGGACGTCTAGCCACAACAATCAAGGGTTCCCTGAGTTTCCGTATAAAATTGTGACGGATTTACTAAAAGACAGTTCCAGTTAATGACAATTTTATGCCATGTATAAGCTAATTCTCCCACTTCCCACCTTTAGTGATTTTAAACCAAGAAGAACATTTAGACCTAAGTTTTTAGGTTTGTTTTTCTATGTTCTTTAAATAACTTTAATGAATTAATCTGAGCCTAAGTTTTATGCAAGATGATTGTTGGGACAGTACACTATGAAAATGTAAAATATTTAAAACAGTATATTTTAATACTAATTGTTCCATAGATTATTTTTACACTGTGTTATATTGTGCTTCTGCCGTGTTTCCACGCCACGTGAAGTAGCTCTCTCTCATGTCTTCAGAGGTGTCCCCATGCAGACTGGTCCTCAGAGCGGTAGAGAACACTTTTTCTTGGGTACAGAGCTCACTGCATAGGGAAAGGCTTTGGCATTCTTACTCCATCTCAGAGAAACAATCTAAGAAGTCTTTTCTCAGGTGTCTTCGTAAAAAAGAAAAATTTATAAGCAAAATAAAAAAGTGCCACTATGAGAGCTGATAGAGTCTGATTTAAACATAATTATGTTGAAATGACTATATGGGGACTCAGAGACTTTCTAGTGGAAATCGAACGCTCCAATGAAAAAACATCTATTGTACTAGGCAATAGGGATATGCCCTTATTAGTTGAACTATGGCACATACCTGACAACAAGTAGTACTTTACCCAAGGAGACACGTATCAAGCACCACACAGTCTGACCACAAAGTGCAAGCCTGTGTATCTATGTGGATGTGGTGGTGCACACCTGTAATCCCAGGACACTGGGAGGCTGAGGCAAGAGAATCACAAATGTAGCCCATCCTGGGCAATTTAGCAACTTAGACCCTGCTCAAAAATTTTTTTAAAAAAAAGCCAGAAAAAAAAAAAATAAAGACAAAGGGCTTGGGATGTGGCTCACTGTGAAAAGGCCCTACAGTCAACCCCCAGTGACAGAAAATGAGTCTCAGTACCTGTCTCCAATGAACATCTGATGACAGTTAATATAGAACTAAATAAGATACAACTAGTGCTTAATTTGAAAGGATAGGTAAGTGAAGTTTAAGTAGTTAGTTGTAATGGTTTCTCATTCCTATGAATGCAATTACATAGGGGACTAAATGTAAGTCCTAAATCTGGGAACATTTAGAAATTTGTCTAAGTGGAAAGCAAAGAGCACTTTCACATTGCCTTGTATTTATAATCCTTATTCATAAATCTTTATTTTTTCAGCAAAGCTATGTTTTTATAAGAAGGGCCTTTTTGTTTAACCTCAAAAAAGCTTAGTAATTATGACTTCTTTTGTTCTGATTTCTTGAGACAGATGTCACTTTGTAGTGCAGGCTGGATTTGAACTCATTTAGGTAGCCCAGGCTGGTCTCAAACTTGCAGCAATCCTCCTGCCTCAGCCTCTTGAGTGCTAGGATTACAGGCATGCACCACCATGCCCAGCAGCAATTACCACTTTAATGAGACATTCCTAATCTAATTTTGTTAGTTACTTTATTCATGATTTGTATATAACTGATGATAGCGAACAAAATTATAGTCTCAGTAGAAGATAAATAATTTTTACTTCAATTCTTTCTATGAAAATATATTTCAAGAGGAAATATGTTTACCTTTGGACACTTTTACTTATAAATTTCATTGTATGCCCCGGGAATGAAAAAACATGGGAAGACAGGGAGGGGAGGAAGAGAAAAAGTGATCAAGATGGGACATGTGTATGTACCAATCCCCAAGATGAATGTAGGTATCAGGATAATAAACCTATGCCAATAAAAAGAAATAATAAATAAATAACAGTATTGGATTATTACCCAAGCATTAAAGTAAAAAAAAATTTAATTTCTAAGTCAGGACTCTTAAAAAAGGTTTAGAGAGAAACCAGGATAAATTTAAAGCCTATTTTATGCTGAAACATGGCCGTAAGTATTTTCAAGTACAATCAATTAACTTTTCCCCTTCCTTTTGGAAACAGCCCCACATCCCACCTCCTCAGGGCATTACCTAGGTTCTGTGTCTATCAGGTCTCTTTCCAAGGGTCTCTAGGGACAAGGGTTGGTTCAGTGCTCATGGCCTTAGCCATGCTAGAGTAGTGGCTTTAGAGAAGCTTTCTAAATAGGAGAGAACTAGAATTTGCTCTCTGAATCTCTTCCTGGTAATGGAATTGAGAAAACCTAGGAGTCCAGTCAGCCAGGTGTGGGACTCAGACAAGCGCCTGCCGTCACCAGGACCCATGGAGATCGATGAGGTGCTCCTCAGTTGATCCGCAGCACAGACCGGCAGACAGGGCTGATTTCCTCCCACCCCCACAGTTTCCTACCGGAGAAGTGTCATGTACAAAAGTTCTAATCACTTTAGCATTATTTTAAAGTAATTGGTGGTGGCACCACTTAGTTTCCATTTAAAGTCTAAAACTTAGAGTGATTCTTTTGTAATGCATACAAATAGTGCACCAAATTCAAAAAGGAACATACAAGGCGTATTAAAATTCAATTAGGTGCTGGGCATGGTGGTGCATACCTGTAATCCCAGCACTTGGGAGGCTGAGGCAGAAAGATTGTTGAGAGTTTGAGACCAGCCTGGGCTACAAAATGAGCTCAAGGCCAGCCTGAACTGCACAGTGATACCCTGTTTCAAGAAGACAAAAGAAAAACAAATTCAATTAGGTTTAGCTGAGTGTAAGAATCTCTTCGACACCCTCTCACGAGGAGTGGCAGGTAGTGTAGGCATGAGGATGATGACAGTGAGCAAAAGAATGTCACTACCGGTTCACTTGGAATATTCCCCAGTACTTCAGCAAGTATAGGTAGGTAAACTACCTAGCTCTCAAAACTGAAAACTTTCTTGATTTCCTTCTTGAGCGGCAAAAAAAAAAAGTGAGAGACTGAAAGCTAAAGCCCACCTGTGTTTAATCATTAATAAGGAGCCCTTCAGTGAACCCAGGTCCTGATTTTGGAATTTGGAATCTGACCTTTCCCCAGAGATAAACATCATTGTCACAGGGTGGAGAGGCTCACTCCTTGCTGGCTGCGTGGTGGAAGAGGCCCCTCTGGCTCCCCAGGCTCTGGGCGCAGGGAGGGCAGCTGCTCAGCATGATCCTCCTGGCTGTGCTCTTCCTCTGCTTCATCTCCTCATACTCAGCTTCTGTTAAAGGTGAGTTTTTCTTGCCTTTCGCTTAACTTTAATGTCAACTTTGGGAGGAAGTGGTGTGTGTGTGTGTGTGTGTGTGTGTGTGTGTGTATGTGTGTGACTTCTCACTAAACCCTCATGTAACTTTGGAATGTTTGTGAAAGCATGGCTGTGTTGAAATGAAAACTAATTTCAACTTTCCACCTCAATTTTATGAAAATACAAGTTTCTTTTCGTTTCGGATCCTCAAGGCAGTGTTTCTTGCTTCAGTTTCTAGTTGATGGTCTATTTTTAAAGGGGGGCAGAAAGATGCCAGCTGTTGTTACCTGCTGCTGTTGGTCATGCTGAATGCAACTCCTTCATTTGAATTGTAAAAGAGGATTGAAAAAAATCCCAGTTCTTAAATGTTTTCTCCGTTGCTTAGCAATGTGACATCAAGAATTAGACCCAATGAAAAGGCATTTAAATTGCTAAAGAATTGTGAATGAAATGTGTTGAATTCTATTACCACTCAAAAGTAATAGAATAACCCTAGCTGTTGAATTAAAAAAAATAAAACTACATGGCATAGATTTAAGAATAAGACATTATCTTTGAAAAATAGCATTGCTAGTAACAGTTGACATTTTAAGGTGAAATGATTTTAAAAATATATGAATCGATACCAGAAAAATGGCAGGAGAAAACCTCATATTTTACAAGGAGTAATTTCAGAAGGCCGTATGAAGTATACTGATATAGAATCTTACCTTAAATCATCCAGATTATAAAGTCATTAGATTTCTGAATATTGCCCTGTATAAAATTTTCATTTTCTAGTCTCTTAATACACACTGTTAAAACCCATTGATCTAACAATTTCACATGATAGGGTCCAGATTTTAAAACTCTATGCAACTGATATGAAACAATGCACTTTAAACTTTAAAACCCTGTTTTGGATAAATGTGGCTTTTGATCATAAAGTGAAATTTGTCTCAAGATTTTTTGTGTGGAAAATATCTACATGAAGAGAAAAGGGAAATTTTATTATTGAAACAATAGAGGGCTGAATTTAAATTGTTTCACCTAAGCAAATCATACTTTAAAGAGATAATAGTTTCATCAGTTTATAAAATGGTTAGAAAAACAATAAGAAAAAAGTAAAGATTTGTAAATCACATCTAAAGATGTTATATAGAAAACATACTACTTTATTATCTGTCAAACTGTTGAGTATTTGAAATATAAGTGATATAAACACAATAACATAATGCCATGATAATTTTTAGAAAATTAACTGCGATGTAGCAGTTACTATGGGCTTTTTCCTCATTCTGTAGACTAGAAAGTTGCAAATATGCTTATAAAGCATTTAAACACACACACACACACCCCAAAGACATAAGGAAAGTGTGGTTCAGACCCTGACAGGTAAACTTATATACAAGCTCTGGACAAATCCAGATTTCTAGAACCTGAAGCTCATATGATTTGGAGGCTGTCTTTGAGAGAAGACCACAAAAACATCTTCCATTTCCAAAGTTTCCTGATGCAGGTTGAGGTGTATGAATGCACTGCAGTGTCCTCTTCCAAAGTCTTAGAAATATTCTGGGAGAGTGAAAGACCCCACAGTGTAAACATCATAAGCTTCGTAGTTTAAGTCCCTTGTGCTAAATATTATGGATAAGAAGTATAAGACAATCCTCTCTACCTGGCTGGAATAGCATTTGGTATCAGCATAGCAGCAAGATTTGATAATAGATTCTCTGCCCTTATAATTTTGACATTTAACTAGAAAATTACATGTGGAAAGTCTACCTTAAATGGGGCCATTCTAAATTTTGATCTTCCAGGTGTCTAAATTACCAATGCAGCTGTCTAGGAAATCCTAAGACTTGGGCGGGAGTCGAGGGCAGGTAAGAAGGTAAGGCATCGGAGAAGGGCTTAGACTCAAGATGAGTATAGAGCAGGGTTTGTATGAACGTTAGGAAGAGAAGTTTACCCTATTGTTTCTTTCCTATTTTTTTTTTTTTTTTTTTTTGGTTTTTTTTTCTGGTACCGGGAATTGAACTCAGGACCTTGCACTTGTCAGGCAGGCGGTGTGCTGCTGAGCTACATCCCCAGGTCCCTACCCTATTGTTTCTTAGTTGTCACAGTGAATCACTCCTTGGGGGTGTGGGCAGGTTTTCTGGATCTAGTGCCTTTGTTTCTATCAGCTTTGTCACCTCTGAACCTGAGTGGGACCATGGTTCCTTCCCTTCCGGTCTTAGTCGCTGAATCTCCTTACTTCTTAGCCCATTTACATGACCAGCCTTCCAAGCTTTCGTTTTGTTTTTTGTACTGAGAATTGAACTCAGGACCTTGCACTTGCCAGGCAGGTGTTTCTAACCTGGATTCTTAATCTCCATTGATCTCCTTATCACCCTTGAGCTTCCCCACACCACACCCCAGGGGCCCTCTGCTGTGTCTTCTTGCTTAAGCCCCTCAGCAGTGCTATTGTACTATGTTTTACAAACCAGTGCACTATCTTTACACATCTTTAAAGCATTCAAAACTAGGACTTAATTGCTTTCCAGTCACTTAAAATTCTAAATACCTTTGAAGGGACAAAATGAAGAGGTAATAACTTATTTGTTTATTTCTTTATTTATGTCTTTTTGAGAGAGCATCTCACTATGTAGTGCAGGCTGGCCTGGAGCTCATTGTGTTGCCCAGGCTGACCTCAAACTCTCAGCGATTCTCCTGCCTCAGCCTCCCAAGTACTGGGATTACAGGTGTGTGCCACCATTACCTGGCTCTAACTCCTTTTTGAATAAAATTCATTTCTTTTTTTGGTGTCATCTAACACCAGTCCCTCTCCCTGCAGAAAAGGAAATACTGTGCTCTGAAGAGCTGTACACTTAAAAGGAAACTAAGTCTATAATGAAATGGAGCATGTCCCCAGTGCCCAGTGTTGTGAGCTCCTTAAATAACACAAGCAGAGAAATACTTACCAAAGGGGATGGATACCATGGACAATACACTCACACACTACCTCTGTGAACCACTTCAGGCTTTTGAGAATTAGGCAAAAGAGTGCATGTTAGGTCCCTCGAACAAGGAAGGAAAAAGCTTTCTGAGGACAAGGCCCTGTGTACCCCGTGTTTTACCACCTCTAAGTTCTAGTTAAGAACTGATCTTTTGTGTGTTTCTTTTCGTATTCTTTTGACCCATAAAGTTGTTACTCTTACTGTTTTAAGAAAAAATTAACAAAAAGTTTTGAAAGCTTTGGAATTTGACTACCTTCCTGCAAAATTTTCATAGTTATTGTAATCAAAAACCACTTTCATGTAGTCCACAACTTGGATTTCAGTAATTTAAATATCAAATTCAATTTTATATCTGCCCTGTTGTGTTGGACATGGAATCAGCTTACATCTGCTCTGATTCCATGGTCCTCTTTCAGAATTGCTATGAAGATTGGCTAATACAACATGCGTTTCCCTTTATGCCCCATGGGGAACTTGGGAGATGTTATGATAAAGGTCTCCCCAGCCGAAATATCTTTCCCAGACAAAAAGCCAGTGTTTGAACCTGCTGTAGAGCTGTAATCAGAACACACAGGGGTGCAGAAGAGGATGCAGGAAGACCGCAGACTTCCTGTCCATCAAGGCTTGGCCTAGCTCCGCCTTCTGATTCTCAGACCTTTGCTCTTACTCTCTCCTTCTGCACTGTCTGGAGCAGGGGCAGGAGATGCTCTTCCCTCAGGGGTCCACGCAGCTGCCTAAACTATCACCTTCTTAGGGAGTCGTTCCCTCAGAGCCCTGCTGTCCTTCCTGGTTCTGTTTTCTTCATTAGCATTCTAGTATGCTGTGTAATTTGCTTATATTTTTATTGCCCACCATTACCTCATTTAAATGTAACCTTCATGAGGGTATAAATTCTGTCTTCTTGCCAACTGGGTTTAGCCTAAGTCTAAAAAACAGCCTACCACCAAGTATAATAGTTTCTCAGGACATCTTGTTGATGACTGAATGAATTCCTAGTTCATTCCCTAGGAATGGAAAATAATTCAATGTAAAACCTTGCAAGTATACAGTGCAAGTTATTTCTAGGCCTGGGCTCAAATCATGTTTCCACCACTAATGACCTCAAGACCTTGGAAAATTGCATAATCGCTGCACTCTTCCATTTCCTTATGAAATGAGTAAAGATCCTTCCTGCCCCGCTGGATTTTTGAGTGTCAGTCAAATAACCTAGACATGATATAGTTTGACCATACTTCTCTCTGAACAGTGGATACTTTAGCTGCTGGCAGAGCTTGTGGAAGAGTTTGTCACAGTGTAGACAGTAGCAACTTTTCAGATGTTTCGTTTTCAAAGTGCTTTTTCTCCCTTTTTTTTCAGTTTCCTCACCTTTGAGTTAGTCTCCCTAATCCCCTTCCTGCTCCTCTTTCCATATGCACAGTTCCTGAAGGAGAAGAGCTAGGCTGTCCGTGACGGCTGACCAGTGCAGGTACCTCAGCCGTGCAGCCTCCTTAACCCAGAGGCAAAATGTGTGTGCTGAGCCTTTCTTGATCCTCTCCGAGAGCCAAGTGTAGACAGTATAGGCAAAGATTTTACATGACCATAAACTTCAAGTCAGTTCTGGGAAAAGCCTCAGTCTTACTCTTTAGTTTCTTGGGATAAATTGAGCTGAAATTGGAGCTAGGTGGACATAGCAATATGTCCATTTTCTTGGCTCACAATACTGACTTGTATCCTATGTGGTGCTAAACTGGCCTGGACAAATTTAAGCCTATGCTGAGATTTTACGTAGTAAAACATTATTTTATTCAGGCACAGCTAATTTAAACTTACCAACAAGTAGCCCTGAAATGTACCTTTGTACTAAAAGTTTGCTTAAATTAATAGAGTAAACTATACTGGGGTGTACTCCTTAAATATCAAATTAGAGAACTGTCCATCTAATCTCTAGAACTACATTGGCATCCAGTTGTTGGCATCACAAGCACGCTGGTTACAAATTATTCTGATGAATTACAAATGTTTCTTATTAAATTTATAAAATAATTCCTGGCACGACCTCTACTTGAACTCATCCTATTCACATAATTAAAATCTATACAGCCAGGCATGTTAGCACACACCTGTAATCTCAGCACTCCAGGAGGGTGAGACAGAAGGATTACAAATTCAAGCCCAACCTGGGCAGTGTAGTGAGATCCTGCCTCAAAATAAAACTGTCTATGAAAGGACTGGTGTTGTAGCTCAGTGTGAATGTCCTAGGGCTCAATTTCCTGCCCCACCAAGGCGGGATAGGGTGGGGAGTGTAAAGCAATGGCATTTCTTTTTCAAAATGTCCTATTGTTCATCCAGGGCAATATTGGATAACCTAATAATCATTAGACAGACACACTAAAGTTTCTCTGAAATGATAACTTATTTTTTTGCTAGTTCATTTGTTTATGTTTTTCAAACTACTGAAGCACTATCTTGAGGTCAGCATACACTCGGCTCCTGCTGAGGCCCGGTAAGTTAGAGGAAAGCACAGGTGAAAAAACTGTGTTCTCTAGCCTGACAGATGCTTTCCAGTTAAATCGTGATGGTGTCCCTGTCCTTATGCAGGTCACACAACTGGCCTTTCACTAAATAATGACCGGATATATAAGCTCGCATACTCCACTGAAGTTTTGCTTGATGAGGGCAAAGGAAAACCCCAAGGAAGCGTGGGCTACCGGATTTCATCCAGCGTGGATGCTGTCTTGCTGTGGAGGAACCCTGATGGCGATGATGACCAGCTGATTCAAATCAAGGTGGTGTCTTCTTTCAAAAGCAAGAATGACAGCAAAGCCCCCACACAGGGTTGGATGTCAGCTAAGTCCCTGAGAAATGTGACACTGGACAGCACTCCTGTGCACTTGTTTATAGAATCATTTGGTTTATATTTTGACATAGGATTTTAAATATTGGATCCACAGTTTTGAAGTTTTTGCTAATCAAAAGTGATCTGAATTTTCCAAGTTGTTAAAGGAGGAAAGTAGGTGGTATTCAGCGGTAAGTAGCTGCAGTGTGATGTCCCATTCCAGGTGTAATGTTGGTAGGGACATTAAACTGAAATCCACGCAGAATGTTTTGAGAGAGAGGGATCTGCACTTCCTGTCCTGTGGAAAACAGATGATATTACTGTAACTGGCAGGGGAGCTGAATCAGGAGTTCCTTGATCGAACAGGGGTTACCGAGGATGGAGTGAACCTATTCTTTGTTTTTCCTGAGGAGGAACCAAGTGCTCCCCTTCATGGCAGTGTTCAGTCAGCTATAATGGTTTAGATTCATGTGAATAGAGACCAAAGTAAAGTATCTACATGAATTTTCCACTTTTATATATGGTGATTCCATATTTGCTTCTCAAGAACCTAGAAACAGTAGATTCCTTTAGCAAAGTAAGTTATTCTTCCTCATGTTAGCATGACATAGCTGCACCAGACCAAGAACTTGGAACAATTGTGCTGTTCTTTTTTTTTGAGACAGGGTCTCACTACACATCCCAGGCTGGCCTAGAACTCATGATAATCCTCCTGCCTCAGCTTCCCCAAGTGCTGGTATTACAGGCATGCACTACCACACCAGGCTTGCTGCTGTTCTTTATATTGAGTTCATTGAAAAACATTTAAAAGTGATCTTTGTTTCTTAGACGTCTCTACATTTTTTCCCAAGTTGGATCCAGTCATCATCATCCACTGCTCTGAGGCTTTTCTCAACAGAACAGTAAACTACTCTGCAGAAAGCACTTTATACAGCTTTTCTCAGTAACTGGACTGTTTAGATTCAGTGTTACATAGACAGTTGAATGGAATAGGTGTCCATTCAGGCAAATACTGTAGAACAGAAGGGGAAGCAATCAGGTAAAGAGCACATGTTCAAGAGTGATGCAAAAGAGCCACCTTCAAGTCAGTCATTATGAACCCAAACTCACAGAGTTATTTAGGTATGGTATTTTTGCCTAATGAAAAGAATCTAATTTTTAAATACTGCCTCCATTCTTTTAAAGGGAACGGCCAAGTCCTATGATCATGGATAGAAAAGTGACAATCTCAGTTGGTCTATTTCTTTATCATTTTATTTTCTAAGAAACTCTGATGGAGACAGACACATGACGTTTTTCTAATAGGCTTCTCTCCATGACTGTAGATGACGGATGTAAAAGTTGAAGATGTGAATCAACAGAGAGGAGAGAAGAGCATCTTCAAAGGAAAAACTCCTCCTAAACTCATTGGAAAGCAAAACTTGGAGGCTCTGCAAAGACCCATGCTCCTTCATCTAATCCGTGGAAAGGTAAAGGGTCTGGGGGAGGTTGTCTTTTCTCCACTTCCCTATTTTTCTTCCCTCCTATGCACATATTATTTTTAAGGTAATAGTGTTTTCACTGATTTCATGGTAAGTGTAATTATTTCAAGAATTAAGCAGAAGTTGGAATTTAAATGTTTCCACAGTAAACCAATACCCTAAATTCTTTTATATTTTCTAGCCAGTTTGTTTTCTATTTATGTGAAAATCTGTAGAGTAAAATCAAGTGTTTCTTTATTGATGAGAGGCATAAGTCAAAAAGTGCATCCTTTATTAAATTAGGAAGGGTTACAAAGATAGTATAACAGAGCAAGTCATCACAGTATGATGATAAATTGGATTAAATCCTAGTCAAATGGATGATTAGATAAATCCAGGAATACAGACAAATTACAATGCAATGATAACTTAGACAAGTGATTTTAAACTTTGATGAGGATACTGAGATCTGCCTAAAGTTTGGCATAGTTCAAGCTTTAGAAAGGCATGGCATGTCTAAGGGAAGGTTCATTTTTAAAAAGTTATAGATTCTTTGAACTATGACCTGAAAATGCACTTAGTATATCAAAATAATGAATGAACACTATAATTTCGTTGGAAATCTTATCAGAAAATTTTGTAAATGTGCATTATTTTGGATTGAGTCTGGTTTATTTTAAATGATCTTAATATATTTGGAATTGAAAACCAATAAGGGATAATAAGGATGAACTGATAAGGTTATCTGAGGCTAAACTAAGTCAGAATTCCAGAGAGTGTTTGCTTACTGTTTACTTAATCATAGCTAAAATGTGTTGGGCACTTACTGTGTATCAGACACTGACTGAAGACTTTATCTGTATTATTCTCTTATTCCAGGGATAACCCTAGGAAGCAGGTGCTTGTACTAGGTGAGGAACAAGGTTAAGAGATTTTAAGAAACTTGTCTAGGGTCACACAACTGGCAAGTAGAAAAAATGATATTTGAAATAGGGTCTGTGCTCAACCTTCTAAATGCTGCTGTGTTCTGGATGGAAAGTACTTGGAAAAATGCTGTCTTTGATTGACTTGTGTGTTCCTTATTTCATTCTTTATCATCTGTATTCATTTACTTGATTTGCATATGGCTCAACTTTGCTAACAATGTGAAACATTTTTTTGGTCTGGGCTTGTAATGTGGCAAGACATTTGAGTCCATTAAATATTAATTGTATTTATAATCTTAGTGACAGCAAATCATTTTATAGCTCCTCTACTGGCAACTGAGTACAAAGTCTTTTGTTACACACACACATGAAAGGACTTGGTGCCCTCACTGTTCAAAGGCTGGGGTAGAGCTGCCAGATCATTATGTCAGTGGCATGGAGGGGCCAGTTCTGGAAGAACTATGATGTGGGCTGACTTACTGTAGCCACAGGCTAAAGTACATCAGCATATCTCTTAACTGTAGAAGAAGTCCTTGGAAAAACTTGACCTTGGAGACAGAGAAGCTAAGTAAGAGTTTTGGCTGCATCCTTGTCAGACATATCACTTAAACTGTTATTTTCACTCACTGTGACAGAAATTATGCAAAGACAGAGTAAACTGCTGATGGGCAATTTTCTTTGAGAGCATTTTACCCTCAGCTGAAGTTAAATTTCACTTAAACTTTCTGTGATCTCAAGGATCCTCATCCATGTGTATGTTTGTACCACCAGAAGTCTTTTTTCCTCCCCTCCAATTTAAAGCTCCCACATTGATATTATGAAAGAAAACCTATCAAATTACTTAAGTACCTATGATTGCACATTTTCCTTTTTGTTTGCACAGGACTCTAGTTTTGTCTACAAATCATAAACTAAGTTGGAAATGTGACAATTATTTGGTTAAATTGATTAAGACTAACAAGCGAAAAGTGCTTCCAATTATAGCATAAACTCTTTAGGCCTGAAATGCAGATCCAATTAACTAGAGAATTATCAGATTTCCAGTTCTGGGTTGGCTGTCTGTGCTGATTAAATTAATCAGGTGGCTGCTGAATGGGCCTCTTGTTTTGGGCTGTGCCCAGGCATTGATTTGCTCTCTAAATCTCCACCATGACTTCTATACACACTGAATTTTCAAGAGGACAATTACATCTTCCAAACTCACCTAGAAAGCTTTAGAATCTTTTTAACTGTTTGTTCCAAAGATGACATTTCCTAGCTATGCTCTGTCTTGGGTACATATCAAAGATAAAATGACTGCCATTCTTTGCTGGGATCTTTTTTATTTATTTTGCTGTTTGGTCACTTCATGTAAGTTTGCCTCCTCTTATTAAAAAATATACACAAGGAAGGAAATGTGTACAGAGAAACATTTCCTTCCTCAGAGGCATAGATGAGTGAGGCCTCCATGTTCCAAATTGATCAGAAGAGGCACCATGCCTCCGCTGACACCCCTAGACTTGGTTTCCTTGTGTTCAGAGCTTACAGGCTGCTGCTCTGTGGTGGCTGGGGACTGTGAATTGAGATAAGAGCCCTGTGCACTCAAATGTTCAGAACTCATTCATCACTGAAGTAATCAGCTTTATGACTTGAGTATAACAAAACTTACTCAGTTCCTGTTGTGAAATGATGAACTTAAGATTACTGCTGCAAGGGCCACGTGGATTAAACTGCAAAGTTCAGATTTATTATAATATGTAACTTTGACTCAGCTACTATACACGCGAGAACTGTCTTCACTTTGAATATCACTGTTCTGCTCTAAAGAAACAGAATTCTGGCCCTAGTGATAGCAGTCATATAAAACAACAAAAGTCTTGTCCATTTCCTAGTTCTAGGGAATCAAAAAAAATTATAAAGAATTTTTAAAAATTTTTCCTCTGTGTCTCATAGTTTATATTTTTCAGTCTGCCAGGAAAAAATAATGTTCTAGCATCACTTAGGGATCTAGAGAGCAAAGTTTTGATCTAGGGATCAAAACTTCACCATAGAAATGAGCTCTTTACAGGAGAGTACTTACACAGTCCAGATTAAATCCAAGCACTGGGTTTCCTGGACTTTTAGGTAAAACTTTAAGTAGGCGTATTCTGTAGCCTGGAAGGAAATTACAGCTAATGCTTTCTAAAGTATCTAAAACTCAGACCAAAAATTACCGGCCATAATGCAAATGTGCACTGCCTCCGTATCCCAAGGAGAACCGTTCTGACTTTCTTAACTCAAGAAGCTCAGTCATAAACCCTGATAAGCATACTATCTGGACAGGGCCTACCATCAGATGTCTGCACCCGACGTGACACACTACTAAAGGAAAGTGGACCCTGTTTAAAGCAGAGAACATCATGAACTCAGCTTGGGTCTGAGAAATTGCTAGTGATCTGCTTGAGAATATGATCCCAAGGATTTTCAGACACTGAGATCATTATTCCAGTTCCTTTTTAACTAGGACAAACAGCACTATTCCAACATTTATAGGTTTGTCCAATGTGATAGCTAAAATTGATTGCCAAATAAAGTATCTGGTAAATCTGTCACTAGGCAGAGTATCTGTAAGGAAGTAAAAATAGAGACTTGAGGCACTTGTTTGGATAATTCAGACAAAATATTCTCTTCTTCCAAGGCATGAGAGACTTTTATATAGGCCAGATTATTCATATTGATATTAATTGAATCCATTGCATAATTATTGAACTTTCTATTTCACTTGAAAAGTCAAGGTTGTATTTGAAGAGAAATAGGAATAGAAATATTCAAGATATTTTGATAGAAATGCTCAGCTATAATTATCATAGACCTTGGGAACTTTTACAGGGAAGATGTAGCTATCTCCTATTTCCAAACTGTATGATGTGTTTAAAGTTAATACAGAGTGAAAACCAACAGGCTGCTTTCCAGAAAAGTCTCTGTATTTTCATCCTATTTCTTGGATGCCATTTTTTTTTTTTTTTTTTTTTTTTTTTGGATACCAGGAATCACACTCAGGACCTCACACTTGCCAGGCAGGTGCTGTGCCACTGAGCTAAATCCCCAGCCCTCATCCTATTTCCTATACATGAGCTAGCCTATTAAAATGATAAAAGGCACTGAGCTTGAAATGTCAAGGGTAAAGCAAAGCTAAGGTGCTTACTATAGCTGCCAAACCATTGCCACCCCTCAACATTTCAACCTTTTTACACCTTCTAAACAGAATCTCAAAGCAATACTTGAGGTCGAAATCCCAACCTCCAGTCTTCCAGCCTCTCTCTCCTTTTACCCAAAACCAGGTGGATGCTGGGGGAAAACGTTGCCCCTGTGGGGTTTTGCCCCTCGGTACATGGCCTGCCTGATTGTTGTCAGAGTCTACAGGGTATGAGCCATTCAGGAGTCTCCAGGGTTGTGATTTTCTACTAAGAACCCTCTTGTTTTCTCTTACTTTATACCCCGGTTGGTGTCTTTTTTACATATGGTAACAGGTGAAGAACAAGGGGACATGTTCAAAGAGAATGTGCCTAATTTTTCTTCTGTGGATAATTCTCGTTTTTATAGAAATCTAGCCTTTGTCAGGGCTATTTCCTTTTCTATCAGTGCTGATCACGGTCAAAACCTTCATCATCAGCCCCCTTAAATTTCATGTCCGGATGATCTAGCTTCTTAGAAATTTAGTTTCTTTTCTTGAAAAAGAAGACATAGTTTTGTAGTAACAAATTCAACCAGAGTTAATGGGGCAAGAATATGACCCTTCCAGCCACATGTTTAACCAAATCTAATGACTGAAGCATTTTTACTCCATTTGTTTCTCTTTCTCCCCCCACTTAGGTCAAAGAGTTCTACTCATATCAAAATGAGCCAGTGGCCATAGAAAATCTGAAGAGAGGCCTGGCCAGCCTGTTTCAGATGCAGTTAAGCTCTGGAACCACCAGTGAGGTACTTGTTAACATTGCTAAGGTTTCAGCATTGTACTGGTCAGTAGGACTAGCAAAATTATTATAATAACTTGTACTTGTAAAACTATAGTAGATGAGTTACTCATATGGTTTCCTCAGAAAAGTTAAGTTGGGTGGTCAAATCTCATTTACATATGAGTTAATTGCCATTTACTCCAATGTTTTGTTACTTGAATTCATGGTAAAGGGAATTAGAATCAGATATACTAAGGAGACTTAGAATAATTGTTAGATATGCAGAAAACCTTAGGGATCATTCCAGTGGTTCCTGGACATCACTGAGCACCACTAGGTGGGGAGTTGGGGGGAGCTTATGAAAAATATAGGTTTCCTGGATTCAAGGATAAGTATTCTGACTATCTTAGATAATTTGGATACATTATCAATATGGAGAACCACTAATCTATATCAATGCCCCTCATTTTGCAAATGCAGGAACTGAAGTTAGAGAAGTTGAGTGGTTCCCCCATTATCACTCCTGGGGCCAAGGCTGGACCCCAACTTTTCCAGCCAGCCCATAAATGGATGAGAAGATCTGAAAGCTAATGTTGGTTACCTTGCTGGAATAAGATGGGGCAATGCTGGCAGAAGCCCAGGGGAAATCTCAGGGAAGCTAAGCAGAGTCTACATGGATAATTAGCCTAAACTCAAATTGTTGATGTGGCTAATAATGAGTTTAATTAATCCCATGGTTTTGCTAAAATTTCTAATCATACTCAGCTCATTAAAATAGCACACATACTCTAGATACATCCTTAAGAATCAACACTCCTTGACACATGGTTACTCATTTGCCAGAGGTTTCAGTGATGGCCAGCCTGTTCCTCCAGCTCTTATTGTGCATAGAGAAAAATGAGACAATGTGAAAGTTACATAAGACTAAACCAAAGAAGATGAGAAAGAACATATGCTACTGAGAACCTTAGCATTCTTCCTATCTGCTTGGCCCTGGGAAGAAAAAGAAGCAATCCCCAAGGGTGTATTAGGGACTTCAATTTCAAAGCCACTTCCTAATAGAATTAAAATAATCCATGCCCAATCCCATTATGTTTTTGCTTTTCTTTTTAGGTAGATGTCTCTGGTAATTGTAAAGTGACCTACCAGGCCCAGCAGGATAAAGTGGTCAAAGTTAAGTCCTTAGATTCATGCAAAATAGAGAGGTCTGGATTTACAACCCAAAATCAGGTATGATTGGTATTATTCTCTTAGAGGCATTTGAATAATTACATTTTATAGAGATTAATTTAAAATAGTAGAAAAATAAAATAATGGTATAATTGGGAAGGATTTTAAATTTTTAGCTTATGTTCTAGTTTCACATATGTCAAATGAATACACTCATTGAAATGTGTCACAGGTTTGGGCAGTGGGGGAAAAGTGTCAGGACACTGTCTTGTAGACTGAAGGATAGTTTGTGATTTGATTCCATCCAGTGACTAAAAATCTGGTTGACCACTTGTTTAAAAGTCAGCTTTTTGTTTATTTATTTATTTATTTATTTAGGTTTTAGGTGTCAGTTCGAAAGCTACATCTGTTACTACCTATAAGATAGAAGACAGCTTCGTGCTAGATGTGGCTGCAGAAGAAATCCACTTTTTTGGGCTGAATTTCCTAAACTCCATAAAAGGAAGAATAGTATCAAAGTAAGATGTTGCTGAAATATTTATCTTATTTGCTGTTTCTTGATATGTTATTATATTTGATTTGTAAATAGGTGTGTGTGTGTATGTGTGTGTGTGTGTGTGTGTGTGTGTGTCCATGTGCAGCGCTTTCTCAAGTGTGAGTTCCTTGAAATACTATGGTGTACACTGTACTATTCTGCTTATCTGTATTCTGTGTGTGTGTGTGTGTGTCCATGTGCAGCGCTTTCTCAAGTGTGAGTTCCTTGAAATACTATGGTGTACACTGTACTATTCTGCTTATCTGTATTCTTCAATTGCTTATGGTAATACATGCACATGGTAAATGCCATTTTAACAAAATTTCATTAAAATCAATTATTTGTTGAATTGAAATTTTAAGAAGACAGCTGCTTCATTTATTCTAGTTCATTTTCTAATTTCTCTGCCAAATGTATTTAATATCAAGGTGAAAATGTGGTGGCATATGTACTTCCTCTCCTTGGGAGGGTTTTAAAATTATTGTTGAGAAATGTAAAAAGTTCCATAGTAGAGATGTGACAGAATTTTTGATGATATTTATAGTATTTAAGTATTCCAGTTTGTTCTGCCAACTTGAGACTATTTTTGTGTTCAGAAGAGTTCTATAGGATTAAGAACTGGAGTTTTAAATTTAAAAGTTTCTTTTCTTTTCAAATTTTAATTCTAGAAGAACACTTCTCATCCCTAGATGTGCTATATCATATGCCACTTCTTCCCCCAAATTTCCTGTGCAGTGGGTCTAGTGTCAGAATCAAATGAGTATACAATTATGAGAGAAGTTCCTCAAACCATAAAAACTTGAAATTTTATTGAAGTCTCATCTGGAGTAGAATTTTGCACTGTACTTCATAATACATATTGTTTTCATATATTTTTATACAAAATAAATTTGTAATCACTTATGAAGTTATTAGGTTTCCATCTCTATATTGCAAACCACCCCTATTCTGGGGTGTAAAATACAATCACTGTACTATTGCTTCTCTTATTTATGCTCTTGCTTGGCCCAACTTGGCTTTGGTCCATGTCTGCTAAGCAGCTGCAGTCACTGCCCAGGGTGGAATTATTCAAAGTTTGCCCTTCATGTAGGTGGTGCTTGAGCTAAGAAACTCAAATGCAGGTAGCTCCTCTGCATCTTTTTTCTCCTGCACAGCCTCTCCCCTTGGCCCCGTGGGCAGCCAGCCCTCTCATCTGGCAATCCAGACTCAAAGACACTTGTGCTCATGAAAACTGAGTTCCTTCGCATGACATGGCTTCGATGTCATAGAGTAACTCCTGCACTCCCCTGTTGCATGGGGCGATCACACAGTCCTGTCCAGTTCCAAGGAGAGGGATGCAGACACTACCTTTTAAAGGCAAAGAGACAAAGTTGGGAAGAAGATATCAGAAAATAATAACATTGAAGCCATTTTTGGAAATTAAGCTCTCCTAATTATCTTGGTTAATAAGTGACATGTGTTTGTTTTGAAGTATCACTTCCAGAAAGCTAGGCTAAATTCAGAAGGGCTGACACCCTCTATCTTATTCAGAACCCAGGCAAATTTTCTTTCTTATAATCTCTTGTCATAATATTTTGAAAGCTAGGATTTAAATTTTCAAATCTTTGCATAAAATTGTTGTTCAGGAAGCCTTCACAATTATGTCTAGGTTTTAGTTACCTCTGGAGATGCTGAAGCTTGAACTTACACAACTTGGATATATAACTATGCAGTATTATTGCCATCAAAATGGCAATTAGTACCTTGTTCACTCAAAGGAAAGCTTATGAAGTGCTGTTTCTTTTTGGTGTTATGCAGGCAGAAATTAGAGCTGAAGACGACTGAAGCAGGCCCCAGACTGATCCCTGGCAAGCAGGTTGCCACCATAATTAAATCGGTTGATCCGAAGTACACAGCCATTCCCATTGTGGGGCAGGTCTTCCAGAGCACATGTAAAGAATGCCCTTCTGTAAGTGTGAATGAATATGGGACTAACAGTGGCTTAAAATTTTATTTTCTTTTGGTCTCCAATGAAAACACCAACTAATTCTGTGCTGAGTTTCTGAAGAATTGCCAGCCACCAGAGTTAGGATGATCATAGCCCAAAATCATGTACCCTTTATGAAGCATAATAAAACAAATTACCATTCACTCATCTCTAGTAAAAAGCATGCTAGGGCCAGGGATATAGCTCAGTGGCACAAGTGCCTTCCTGGCAAGTACAAAGTCCTGAGTTTGACTCCAGGTACCAAAAAAAAAAGTTTGCTGACTTAAGGGCAGTCCTTTGAAAGCTAGAATTCAGGGAGGATAAAGGACCTAATGAAACAAGGGGAAGTTTTTTATGTCAAGAACATGGACAAGGGCTGAATCTTGAAAGCTTTACAATGTACTAGTGATTTGTCCATAGGGAGAATGCTTTACTGATCTTACTGTTTTGAGTTTTGCTATTGAGGACTAAAAGAGTATTTCAAATTCTCTGCTTAAATGAGGGTGCTCTTCCCTACCCTACTTCAGGGTGCCCCACCATGACAGCTAGAAATGAGATATCCCACCCCACAGGCAAAGTGTAGATCATCTTGTAACATTTTCAATCCAACAAGCATTGCATGAATCAGTTGTGACATATGATCACAAAAATACTTTGGCGCCCAGTATTTCCTAACATCTTACCGCTTGTCAGGAGAGCAAACCCTTGGCTTCAAGCTCTGTGGAATTTACTTGAAAGTGCTCCTCCCTTAGGCATTATGGGTGTTTAGAAAGGTGGAATCATCAGAAACTGTTACCACATTTTGGTTAATGCTTATTAATTTCTAAACTTTACCAATTGCATTATAGGGAAGCAAAAGATCATTTTTAAACTTTATTTCTTTTTTTGGTTTTCCTTCTAAGTGTCACTTAACATTCTTTTTTTTTTTTTTCCGGTACCGGGAATCGAACTCATGACCTTGCACTTGCCAGGCAGCTGCTGTGCCGCTGAACTAAATCCCCAGCCCCTCACTTAACATTCTAACATAATTTTTCTAATGAGACTGAAGTTTAGGAAAGTGACTAAGGAAGCTACATATTTTTCTCATGCTGTGAACTATTCATTCCTCTTCCCATAGTTTTCAATATTATGAGCCCTCTAAGATTTTTGAAAATAATTTCTTGACTATTGCAGGAAGAACTATATCACTGAGAGGTTGCTTTTCCTATTTAAGTGTGTCATTCTTGCAACTCTATAAAAAGATCTGAATTCACATTGATGAACTTTTTGCTTTCAGAAATGACTCAGTAAGTATCAAGCTAAATACAGCTGGAATTTTGCACTGGAATGTCTTCTTAAGATTAGATAGCTAAGGGAGATTTACAGAAGACAAAATATAAGTGTCTATGCCTTACTAGAAGGAATGAATAATTTAGAACCTGCAGGCATGGTGATTATTCCAATGTGGCAGTTGGAGGTCCCTGGTGGAATTTAACATGCTCTGTACAATGGGCAACAAGTAGTAAAGTACGAAAAGTAAAATCTTTAGTTTGTTTCAAAGCCAAGAGAAGTCATCAATTATAATTGCTTACTAATTTTAAATTACTTGCTATTGTAGAATAATTGCTGGTATGTGTGAATTATCTTTATCTAGTTACTACTTTACCAGGCAGATATGAAAATGATTTTAAGTATCAGTAATAGCAAAACATTGAATTTTATACTAACAATGCAAAAAAAGACAGCATACGGAGCTCAAACTGTTATAAAATTGATTTTCAGGGAAATATAGGTAAATTAGAAGTTTGATGCAATTTTTCAGCAGTTCGATTTTTCCCCTTCAAAATATCCTGCTGTGAATTAATGTTCTGCAAACTTTCGCTAGGTTAGTGAAAGCCTGGCCTCAGGTGTAAGGCCCTTGATCTACAGGGGCCAAGCGTGCCTTAGTGGTTGCCAGCTAACAAGTAGAAGTGCTCCTCCTTCCCAGGATGGCCCAGGGGCAGCAGACCTTTCTATGGTGCCTGGGAGTCAGAAGGGCTGGCAGGTGGCAGGGGAGACAGGACTCTCATTGAGCTAAAACACAGAAGTTTCTCCTCTTGTCACATATGAGGACAATTTTATTCGTGGGGAAATAAATGTAATAAGTGAGGATGCTCAGCAGAGCAGAGCTGGATCTGTGGCCTGTTTTGCAGCTCTCGGAGCACTGGCAGGCAATCAGGAAACACCTGCAGCCAGACAACCTCTCCAAGGCCGAGGCTGTCAGGAGCTTCCTGGCCTTCGTGCAGCACCTGAGGACTGCAAAGAGAGAAGACATCCTGCAACTCCTGAAAACTGCGAGTCAAGATGTCCTGTAAGTCCCCCAGTTGTACTTGGCGTTAGGAAACGCTTTGGGTTGCTATTCTTATTAAAGCAGGAGTCTTTTAATAATGACTGCCCTGTCTCCAAATCAGTTGTCCTGCTGCTTGAATTTTTATCCATAGTTGTGCTGCAAATGGTCATTGGGCTGGAAATGCAGGAGCGTTTTTGTTGTTGTTCTTGTGTCTTTTGAGACAGGGTCTCGTTATTCAGTTCAGGCTGGCCTTGAACTCACTTTGTAACCCAAGCAGGCCTCGAACTTCCAGCCATTCTCCTGCCTCAGCTTCCCAAGTGCTGGGATTACAGGCATGCCCACCACGCCCGGCTGAGCATTTTCAACAGTGACTCACATACATATTTCTGTGCTTGTGAGTTTAAATGATACCCCATCAGTACACAGAGAGGCTAGGCCAGGGTTTCCTGTGGCACCTGGATGAAGGGCTGCCTCACTGTGTTTAAAATTGTGTTCTTATACTGTTAATTCACACTGGAAACTATTTCAGAATTGATTAAAACAAACAAAAAAGGTATGACTTTCCGCTAAAGAGCAATTTCACTAGAGATTCAGTTGAAGCCACATGTTATATACAAAGCTGAAAACTGATCTAAACAGTCAAAGAAATTTAGAGAAAAGAAATTCTTATGTTATTTGACATTTAGTCAAAGTGTGATTCATTTTCATGTGTACTAAAGATTGTTGACTCAATTTTAAAATTCATTTATTTTTTGTAAATAGAGAAGATTTTTGGCATGTAATACAGGATTTATCTGTGAGTACAAACTTAGCTGCAAGATGGAAATTATTCTAATTAATCATATAATTTATGGCTCACCTAATTTGACAGACAGTGAAAATTAGTCACTAACATAAGGGAAAGTGGAAATTGGCCAGCATATACACACATGTGCACAGACACCCAGCAGCTACAGTGCCAGATTCAAAAGACTCTATTTCAGAAGAACAAGAGTATTTAACTGTTTTTCGGAAAATTTTGTTTATCCTTGACTGTGTTTGTTATTCACTTCCCTTTAGAATACTAAAAGATTGGTAAGAATTCCATATGATTATCCACAAATTGGCTACTTTCCTCAAAAATAAATATTTAAAGCAGAAGTTGAAAGATAATGCAAAGTCATGAATTAGTAGATTCTGTTGTAATCATAGAATTGTTAGGTAAATTGGTAGAGGGACTTGTCTTATTATCAAGGAAAAAATACTAAGAAGTGCAGGATTTAGCTATCAGTTGAGATCAGGGATGGCATGAACCCTTAACCTTAAAAATGCCAGGTGACAATACTTTGGATGGCTGCATGGCATATTTTCTATAGAAGATTTACCCAGTACTGTACAGTATCATATGTAACATATGTGTAGCATGGTATAATAGAAAGTAGACCAGAAAAAACTACAATTGGATGACCTACCATGGTGTAATAGAAAGTAGACCAGAAAAAACTACAATTTAAAACAAAATTTTAAATTTTCTGACTTCCAGTAACTGTGTATTTTTTAAGCAAGTCATTTCCTGTTAATCTCTCTCAGCTTCACTTTCAACATGTATAAAACAGGATAATAATTCCTTTATTTACAGTAGGACGTTCAGAGATATGAAGGGGCAAGGTGACCTTTCCTGAGCTGCCTATGTCGGCCGTCCTATAATTGGCAAGACAGTGACAGGTACACCAAGAACAAGAGATTCTAAGTCACTAGGCTGCAAAATATGGGTTGAAGCCAAGGTACATAGTTTTCATTGCAGATACATCAGCATCTTTCATCTGATAACGTTCTTTATAAATCTCTTTTAATATTTTCTAGACTTAATGTGACTTTGAAGCCCCCCTACCCCTTTTTAAAGCATTTGTAGGATGAATTCATGGGCTGCAAAGTCACAAAAGGCTGGTTGTGACCCTAGCTACACCATTTGTGTGTGTGACCTTGAACAAGTGACCTGGTATCCCTCATTCTGAGTCCTCATTTGTAAGGGAAAATTAGAATTAAACTGCCAGGATATTCAATGAATTAATGGGGTGACAATGTTAACAGCTAATATTTATTAATCACTTAGGGCTATATCAAACAGTCTTCTAAGTTCTGCATTTGATTATGTAATTTGATCCTCCTAACAATCCTAAGCTAAATACTATTTTTCACTCCATTTAAAAGATGAAGAAATTCAAAACAGGCTGCATACCTAAAACTTCTATTGCAGCACTTAACTGGTGATCATTTCTTAAATACTGTCTCTCCATCTTTGCTTTATTCATTTGGTTTGTTGGGATCAAAGTAGAAGAGCCCAAGTATATAATTTTTAAAGTATAAAGTATTATGCATGTGTTTGACCTGTTTACATGGAGGAAATATATAGAATTTACATACATATGTTCATTAGTATGACAGCTAGTTTCAAAAATTTTACCTTTCCTCACGATATTCATTGTGATCAAACATAGAACTATACCATGATGTTTTTTACTTAAAAAATAGCAAAATCTTCTCCTTTGCATATAAAGTTAAAATAATTCTTTAATCAAGTGATACTGCTCTAGTTAAGTTATGCATTTGAGAAATATGTCTATTTGCAAAGCTAATTAGAGAAAAAAATCAATTTTAGGGCCCATACTTTTTTGTGTATTACTCATATAGAAAAGAATTTAAGCCTAATCTATCATTTCATTTAAATAATTTTAATTTATAAACATCCAGTTGTGTTTGGCTTAGGTTAATACGGTCAAACTAATTTGTAGATTCTGATTATACATTGTTTAAGTCAGAGAAAGAAGAGTTAAAAGAGAGGTTTACATAAAATAGGGCAGGACTCTTTTCAGACATTCTTTTCAGTGGTAGTTGTTCAATTTTTTTTTAAAAATTGTTTCTCCAGGAAACTGAACCCAGGGGAGAGCCTGGGTGGTGAGGTGTTTAACCTCCCCTCAGGTGCTGTGCTCGATGTTGGTGACTGTCCCGTTCTTATAGCCCGCAGCTCGTGGATGCCGTCACCTCTGCTCAGACCCCAGCCTCACTAGAAGCCATTTTGGACTTTTTGGACTTCAAAAGTGACAGCGGCATCATCCTTCAGGAGAGGTTTCTCTATGCCTGCGGATTTGCCTCCCATCCTGACGAGGAACTCCTGAGAGCCCTCACCGTAAGTCAAGGGGACCCGGGAAAATAAAGACCCTCAGCTGCTAAGGATGAATTGAAACACCTCTCAAGCATATAAGCAGTAGACAAAAGGCATTCGATCAGAACTGATGCTGTGTACTGGATTGCTGTCTATCCATCTGCCACTACTATGCAGTAAATTACTTCCCTAGAGTCTTTACAGTCCTACCAACAAGCGCAAACCAGACTTTGTGGAAACTTAACAATTGTCGCCCATCATATCATGTGGCATGGAACAAAACTTCAGAAGGAAAAGTATAGGTTATGCTTCAGTAAGCAGTTTTTAAAAAATTTGTTCTGATTTTTAAAATTTTCATGATATTTATATATATACATTGAAGGACATGGTTGTTCCAATATTTAAATGTTATATTGGAACCAAGAGCTACATTTCTCTTGAGTTCATGATTTTGTAAATACTCATTCATTTATGATCTATTGAATAGCTCATATTCCTTTTGGAAAAGAAACCTGAGAATCTGATAAGCAGTAATGAACGTGGAAACCGTTTCCCTAGTATTGGTTACTTCATTCCTTCATTATAAGTGCCCCTTAGAAGCATTTAAATGTATTTTTTAGACTAGCATTTTTTTAATTTTAAAGAGAAAAAAGCAATAACAAAATAGCAAAAAGACAAAAAACAACACAGAAACAATAAAAATGATGCAGAATTTCAAAACAAGATGATAAGAAATTAGCAATGGTTGTTATATTACATCTTGTTATCTTCAGTGAAGTTGCTCAGATTACCAGATGTAAGAATGCAAAATTATCAATTAAAGAGAATAAAAAATTTTTAAAACCCGTTAGAAATGATACAGAGCTTCACTAAACAAGATGGTAGGAATTTTTTTATTTACTTATTTTTTTTTTCGGTTTTTCTCCGGTACCAGGAACCGAACTCACGATCTTGCGCTTGCCAGGCAGGCGCTTTTGCCGCTGAGCTAAATCCCCAGCCCCCAAGATGGTAGGAATTTAACAATGGTTGTTATATTACATATTGTTGTCTTCAAATTAGTTGTTCAGCTTACTAGGTAGAAGCATGCAAAATTGGTCAAAAAAATTTTAAGCATTAATTCTTCTTTCAATAAACCAATAGACATCAGCAAAACAATTATCCCAGCTATCCTTATACATTAATATATATTTTTCCCCTTCCTTCTTTCTTTCTTTTCTCCTTTCCCTCATCCCAGTTGTTCCTTCCCTTTGAGCAATTTCTTTCCCTTTCACAATATCTATTGTACCATTCAGGTTTTATTTACTCTTTGAAGTTCTTATACTAGGGAGACAATATAATGTTTACACATGCGGGTCTGATAAATATCTTCATGAACATTTGCTATCTCTGCTTGGCTTATAGGGGAAGTTCAAAGGTTCTTTCGGGAGCAACGACATCAGAGAGACTGTTATGATTATAATCGGCGCCCTTGTCAGGAAGTTGTGTCAGAATGAAGGCTGCAAACTCAAAGTAAGTGCAGACCACCCTGCTGTACTCACCGCGCTCCCAACCAGCTCCCCGATCCTCCCACCCTGCCCTATTTTCCCATTCATGTGGCAAGTTTTGCCATCTAATGTAGCTTTTGGTTCCAGGTTTCTTTAGATTCATTGTTTACATCTGTCTCGCACTAGTTTGTATGCTTCATGCAGGAACGGGTCTTTGCTTCATCCAGTACCAATTATGTTGTTTTGTTTTTGTCTTGGTTGTTTTTTATTTTGTTTTCTCTTTAAAATAAAAAATAAATACATAAAGTAAGCTCCATAAACACTTGCTAGAAAGTGAATGGTCCATTAATCTTCCTGCCAATTTACATTCACTGAGTGCTCACTACATGCTCAGAGTTTTTTGTCTTTGTTTTATTTTCAGTTGATAAATGATAAAGTTTGAGGCAAAATGTGATAGTGTCTTATATTTATGCATTGTAAGGTGATCAAATTGGGTTAGTTAACATATCCATCCCTCAAATCCGTATTGTTTCTTTGTGGTGGAAACATTTATAATCCATTCCTCTAGGTAGTTTGAAATACCCAGTATGACTTTGTGAACTATAGTCACAGTGCTGTGTGACCACCAGAACCTGTTCCCCTGTCTAACTAAGCCTTTGTATCCACCATCTCCCCTTTAATGATCAAATCTCCTCTACCTCACCGCAGACCCATGTAACTCCCATTCTGCTCCTTCATGCTTGAGTGATTTTTATAGATTCCGCATATACATGAAATTGTGCAATATTTATCCATCTGTATCTGGCTTATTTCACTCAGCATAATGTCCTCCAGGACCACCCACATTTTGATGAATTACAGAATTTCCTGCTTTTTAAAGGCTGAGTAGTATCCTGCAGTGTGTTTAAATACCACTTTTAAAAAATCTGTTAATTCTTGGGTATTATGAATAATGAAAACAGGAATGCAGGTATCTCTTCAACATATTTGATTCTGTCTTTGGTATCTTTTGGTGTATGCCTAGAAATGAAATTACTGGGTCACATGATAATTCCTTTAATTTTTGAAGAACTTCTATGCTTTTTCCTAAAGTGACTGTACTAATTCATAACACTACCAGTAGTGTGCAAGTGTTACTCTTCCTGCACACCCTTGTTAAACTCCTCATCTTTCAACTGTTCAGTAATAGCCAGTTTAGTAAGTGTGAAGTGGTAGCTCATTGTGGTTTTAATTTGTGTCTCTGATTACAGATCTTGAACGCTGGGACCAGGGCATGGATTGGGGTACGCACTTGCCTAATAGGAACGAGTCCCTGGGTTCAGTTCTCAGCACCTGGTGGGGCAGGGAGTTGAAGATTTTTCATATACCTGTTGATCATTTGCATTTTATTTTTCTTTGGAGAAACATCTATTCAGGTCCTTTGCCCATTTTTAATACTGTTACTAGGTTTATTCTTACTGAGTCATCTGAGTTTCTTGTATATTTTAGATATTATCCGTTTTGTCCGAGGTATGATTTGAGAGTATTCCTCCCATTCTGTTGGTTGTCTCTTTGCTTTTATTGCTTTCTTTGCAACACAGAAACTTTGCAGTTTGATGCAATCTCATTTGTCCATTTTTGCTTTCACTGCAGTCTCTGCCCACATCAACGTCATGGAGTTTCCCCCTATTTTTTGTTTTGATAGTTTTACGATTTAAGGCCTTACATTGTCATTTTAATCCATTTTAATTAATTATTATATAAAATTTGAGGTAAGAGCCCATTTTCATTCTGTATATGGATTTCCAGTTTTCGAGCACCATTTACTTAAGGGCTGTTCTTTCTGCATTACATAGTCTCAGGACCTCTGTGGAAAATCAGTGACCATATATAGGTGTGTGCATGTCATCATGAGCTCTATCCTATTCCATGTTTCTGTCTTTATGCAGGTACTGTGCTGTTTTTATGACAAAGATTTTGTAATATATTTTAAAATCCAGCAGTGTAATATCTAAAGCTTTATTATTCTCAAGACTGCTTTCACCATTCGATGTCATTTGTGATTCCACATGAAGTTTAGAATTGTTTTTCAAGTTCTGCAGAGAATGCCACTGGTATGCTAATGGGATTGTATTGAATCTGTAGATCACTTTAGGCAGTATGGACATTTAATGATATTCTTCCAATCCATGGACATGGTATGACTTCATTTATTTATATCATCTTCAGTTTCTTTCAGCAATGTTTTATAATTTTTAGTATAAGCATTTATTACTTCCTTCCCTAAATTTATTCCTACTACTTTTGATGCTATTGTAGAGGAGATTTTAAAAATTTCTTTTTCAGATAGTACTTTATTAGTATATAAAAATGTTAATGCTTTTTTATGTTGACATTGTATTCTGTAACTTTACTGAATTCCTTTAACTGTTCTAATAGTATTGTGGTAGGGTTTTTTGGGTGTTCTACACATAAAATTATGTGGTCAGCAAACAGATGATCTCACTTCTTTCCTTTCCAACATGGACACCATTTCTTTAGTCTTCTTGACTAGTTGCTGTGGATAGAATTTCCAGGAAGATATTGAACAGAAGTTGTGCTAGTGGACATTCTTGTCTTACTTCTGGCCATAGAGGAGAGGGCCTCACCCTTTCACTGTTGAGTGTGTTAGCCATTAGTTTTTCATATATGACCTTTATTATGCTAAGGAACATTCCTTCTATATGTAATTTGTTGTCTTTTTATCATAAAAGATGTTAAATTTTGTCAAATGCCTTCTCTATTTTATTGAAATGATCTTTCTGTTTTCTTCTCCATTCTGTTAATGTGGTGAATCATATTTATTGGTTTGTACGTATTGAACCACCTTTAGACCCAAGAATGAGCCCTAATTAATCACAGTGAATAGCTCTTTTAATGTATTATTGCTAGTGGTTTGTTGAGGATTTTTGAATCTATGTTGATCGGGAATATGGATCTCTACTTTTCTTTTCTGGTAATATCTTTATCTCTAGTATCAGGTAATGCTGACTTTGTGAAATGAGTTTGGAAATATTCCTTCCTCTTCATTTTTTTGGAAGAGTTTGAAAAGGATTGATGTTAGTTCTTCCTTAAATGCCTGGAAAAATTCAGCTGTAAAGCCATCTGTTCCTGCACTTTTCTTTGATGGGAGACTTTTAGTTACTGATTAATTCCCTTGCTCATTATTGATTTGTTCAGATTTCTGATTTCTTCATAATTCAATCATGGTGAGTTACATGTTTCAAGAATTTATCCATTTCTCTTAGGTTGTCCACTTTATTTGTGTATATGTTTGTGTTATTGGTTGCAATGTCTCTTGTTTTATTTTAGATTTTACCTATGAGAGGGTCAAATATTCTAGCTACAAGATTGCCAGTTTTGCTTAGAAACAGTTCTACCTCATTGAACAATTCTAGTCTCATTGAATTTAGACTGAAACAATTCAGTCTCTTTCATTTATTTATTATCTAATCCTTATCCTTCCTTACTTTTACTAAATTTTGACTTAGTTTCCAATTTATAGATCTTCTTTCACTTCCTCTGTTAAATTTACTCCCAACTATATTTTTGATACTATTATAAATGACATTGTTTTCTCCTTTTCTGGTTCTCTGAGGTATAAGCTTAGACTATTTATTTGATATCTTTTTTCTTTTGTGATATAGTCATTTGGTGTTAAAAATATCTCTTTTCTTCTTTTCTTCTTTTTTAGACAGTGTTTCACTATAAAGTTTAGGCTGGCCTTGAACTCATTAAGTAGCCCAGGCTGGCCTTCAACTCATGGCAGTCCTCGTCTTGCCTCAGCCTCCTGAGTGCTGGGATTATAGGTCTATACCACAAAAAAGTCCCTTTTAGAACTGCTTTTGCTTCAACCCTTAAATTAAGTTATATTGTGTTTCCATTTTCATTTATCTCAATATATTTAAAAATTTTCTCTTTGAATTTCTGCTTTAAGAAATTAAATAATATTATTTAATTTATAAATATTTATTAATTTTCCTGATTCATCTTATTATTGCTTCTAGTTTCATACCAATATGCCTGGAAAAGACATTTGATATGATTCTAATCTTCTTAAATTTACTTAAACTTGTTCTGTGATACAGCCTGGAAAATGTTTTGTGTATACTTGAGGAGAATAATTATTCTACGGGTATTGTAGAGAATGTTCTGCATATGTCTGGTTTAAAGTGTAGTTCATGTCTAATGTTTTCTTGTTGATTTTCTGCCTGAATATGTGTATTTTTGAAATGGAGTATTAAAATTTTTTAATTTTGTAGTCTATTTTCTCTTCATCTCACTTAATGCTTGGTTTATATATTTAGGTTCCTTGATGTTTACAATTGATATAGCCTCTTGGTGAATTGATATAATTGATATTATATAATTGATATAACCTCTTGCTAGAACCTTTTGATGAGTTGGCTTCTTTTATCACAATCCAGTAACTTCTCCTCTTCCTTGGGTTGGAAGAGTGGGTATAATTCTTGTTTGCAGGAAAAGATTAGTCTCTATGACATTTTCCTAGAGTATAATTTGTCTATAATAAATGTGGTTTGAAATTTTGAGTTTTGATGGTAAAACTTTGGTTGTTTCTAATCCCCTAGTACTTGTATTATATTTTTAATTTCATTTGCTGAAAGCTTTTTATTTGCCTGAGTGAACTATTTTTTTTTTTGTTGGTTTTTTTTTTTTTCCTTTTTTCTTGGTTTTTCTCTGGTACCAGGAACCGAACTCACGACCTTGCGCTTGCCATTGCCTGAGTGAACTATTAACGTTCACATTTTTTCACTAAGCAAAAATGCCCACTTGGTAAACATAACTAAATGTACAAAATCCAAGTTGATTAAAATCAAATAGTCCATATTTCAATAATACAAATAGACTAAACACAGTGAATATATAAAAACATAATCTTTCTTCTGGCTATATTTAGTTATAGCCAGCATCCAGTTGTTAGTTTTCTTCCACCACTGAAAGACATCACTGCATTATTTTGCTTACATAGTGCCTCCTGTTAAACGCAGTGTTGAAAGCATTTTTGAAACCAAGCAGTTGTGGGAATGGCAACCCATAAGCATAATACACACCGAGCAGGAAAAAAAATACTAAAAAGGGGGGCACTGAAGATATTTGATTTCTAGTTCTGGCAGATTCCAAATTTTTATGAATTCTTACATTTTTCAGTTTTCAGAATTAATTGAACAGTGCACTTACTTCAGCAATTTGTGTGTTAAATATCTTGGCTGAAGACAGAACTCACATATAAAAACACCCAAAGGCTAGCACTAATCTTTTAATATTAAGATGCTTAAAATATTCCACCACCCTCCAGGAATTCCTCGCCTGTTTATCAAATACCAAGAGCTATACACAGTTGGCCCTCTGTATCTATGGCTTCCCCATCCAAGATTTAATCAACTGTGGAGTTGAGAATTTTGGAGAGAATGCATCTCCAGTGAATGTGACTACATCATTGAAACATAAGCAAAATGAGAATGCAGAATCTCCAGCAGCCTTTTTTGTTTGAGGGAGCTGGGAAAAGTTTTGCCAAAATAGTGATATTTGCCCTTAGTTTAGAACTTTTTAGGTCAAGAGATTATAGTATGGAATGAAGCATATTCTAGAAGTACTTTGTGAAGTTATTTGTGAAGTTATTCTAGAAGTTATTTGTGAAGATCAAAAGTGAGCCCCATGTGCCTGGGAGCAGTGAGCACTTCTGCTGAGGACGTTTGTGTAGTCTGCATCTAGATTCACCAATAGCTATTGACCTTTCTGCATGGCTTCATTCTATTTTATTTTATTTCAGTTGGACCACATGGGAGTGAGTTGCAGACATGCACCATGTTACTCCCAGATATTCCTACTTCTTGTTACTTGTGTGCTATTGCTTCTAAGGTGCTTACTTACAACAGACAAAGTACACGTGTTCATGAAAGTGTGTGTGCAGGGTACTACTTCTAGTGCTAATCCAGCACTACTGGGTTATTTCTCTCCTTCCTTCACTTCATCCATGTATCCTCTTTCTCCCCAGTGAGAACCCTTGTTTTCAAGAACGTCAGTATATTGATTCATTTGATCCATCTAAAACACATGCAGAGCACTTTTTGGAAGGGTGGCACCAGTATCATTCCAAAGATGAAGTGAAGTTCAAGACTCCATTGCATCTCTCTTTTCTCTATTGTCTTTCCATTGATAGCACCTGTAATCTGAGTTCTATGCTCAAAAGTTGCTGGAGTTAATTCTTTTCTATTCTTTTCTGCTTAGTTATATTCTCAATTTAATATACACTTGTGTCCATTAATTTAAGTTTGAAATTAATTTTAGTAATTTTACATTCTAGCTAATTTAATTTTATTTCATGAGTATATTTATACTATATGGCTCCACTGAAGTACATCAGCCCTGTGTGTGTGTGTGTGTGTGTGTGTGTGTGTGTGTACTTGTCTCTCAATTTCAGAGTTCTTAAATCTTGTAGCTGAATTGCAGCCCAGAATTTTTATTTCAAAGATGAAACAAACTCAGAAGACATATGTAGTGGCAACAATAAGACTAGAACTCGGATGTCTCTATTTCTAATTTGCTTTCCTATTAAACTATTAACTTGTCTTTATTTTCTTTTTCTCTTTGTTTGGGTCAGGGAAAAGACCTTTCCTAATTGCAGAACATGTTTGAAAGTACTCGGCAAAGCTCTTGCCACATAGAAGGCATTAAAAAATTATTTTGAATTGTGTGGTAGTATCAATTAAATTTTCAGTCAAATGAAAACGCTTTTTGTAGAAGATAATAAGAATAATAAAAAAACATTAGAAACAATATAGAATTTCACTAAAAGATGATAGGAATTCAATAATTGTTATCATATTTCATATTGTTGTCTTCAAATTAATCAGTGTGGAGATTCCCCCAAAAACCTAGGATTAGACACCCCATTCAACCCAGCTATTCCCCTTTCCCAGAAAAACTGAAAACATCATACCACGGCGATATATGTGCACCCATGTTTATAGCAGCACAATTTGTCAGAGCTAAATCTTGGAAACAACCCACATGCCCATCAACCGAGGAATGGATAAAAAAAGATGTGGTATTTTTGTACAATGGAGTATTACTCAGCTATAAAAAAGATAAACTTGAGGCTTTTATAGGTAAATGAAAAGACTTTTAAAACAACTGGGCTTTATGTGTCAGCATCTAAGGACTTTTGCTGAAATAGTTACTTAAAAGTTGTGTGGAGATGTTCAGAAATTCAATGAGTGGGAAGTTTTTAAAATAGTTACAAAGAAATTTTTTAAATGGATTTATACATTCAGAATGTGTTCAAAATGAAATATGCCTGTTATGAATAACATTCAGAGCTTTTAAGGTGTTACTGTATGTAGTTTTTAAAAGAACATAAAGCCGTGCTCAAACGCATTTGTTTCAGCCAGGTGACCAATGCAAAACTTTTGTAAAAGTTTTTTGAAACTTTTGTTATTTTCTTGTTATTTTTTTGGTATTAATTTTGTGTATAGTCACATATGTCTAAATATGTGATATTTTAGGCAGTAGTTGAAGCCAAGAAATTAATCCTGGGAGGACTTGAAAAGCCAGTGAAGAAAGAAGACACTAAGATGTATCTGCTGGCCTTGAAGAACGCCCTACTCCCAGAAGGCATCCCATTCCTGCTGAAGTATGCAGAGGCTGGAGAAGGGCCCATCAGCCACCTGGCCACCACCACTCTCCAGAGATATGATGTCCTCTTCATCACCGATGAGGTAGCCTCTCCAGGGACACTGGCAACAGGAATAGTCAAAAGCAAACTCCTCCCATGCTGCACTCTCCCTGGTGACTTCTCTCTCCTGCTTAGAGAAAGCTCTTAGATTATACTAAGGCTATTCTAAAGTGCCTCAGACTTTGAATAGTGTCGTATGTCCTGAAGCATATTATCTTATTCTAAGAAACAAATTCTTTTTGCAAATATATTTCCTATTGCAAGTTTTAAGATGCTGCTAAACTTTTCAACACTTAGTAAGTATACTGATTTAAGTATGATCTTGTTTGTTCATTTAACAACATTTTTAAACTAAATTTTTAAACTAAATTAAAATTTCTCATAGAGCAGAGAATGTTTATAAACCTCAAGATAAACTTTCTGTGAGGCGTGTTTAGCATTGAGAATGTTTTGTTTTTTGTTTTGCTTTGTTCTTTTCGTTTTCACTTTAAGCACCCACCCTGTGACAGTTTTGTGTTACAGTTGGCTAGAGGTATAGGTGATGGTCAGAGGCATAGGTTTTTGAAAACACAGACCTAGGAGTAAATTCTGGCTGCCTTTTCTTTGTTGTTCTTGGGTGAGATACTTAACTCCTACCTGCCTGAGAACAAGGCTGAGATTTGAAGGAGACAGGAAAAGGCAGAGGGAAGTACAATTGAAAGAAATATTTATAAATGCTGACTATAGAATTTCACACATTAAATATGGTTAGGCAGTGCTAGTCACCACTAAAATTACTTGTGGCCACAGATTACAATTATTAAGGTTTATTTTCTTTTGTGTCATGTCTTATTTAGAAAAAAAAAAACAAAACTCTAATGGGCCCTATGACAATGGTGTGTTAACTAGATACATCAAATGTGACAGAGGTACTGCGGATGTTTATTGCAGTCTGTTTTCTCTTGCAACAACAGAACAACTGGGGCTGAGTACTTTTTAAAGATGTCTACTTAGAGTTCTAGAGGTTAGAGAGAGCACAATGCTGATGTGCTGTTGTGAAAATGATATCAAATGGTGGGAAAGGCAGGCAAGGGTGGCTGGTGGTGCTTATGGAATAAAGATGCAGGGGTGCTATGCTGCCCTCCGCAACCCACTTTTAGAAGCACTAATCCAGCCTGTGGAATTGACCCTTCATGAGTGATGCTCCCAGCATGTCATTTCCTTCCATGAGGTCTCCTCTCTCAAGGTTTCTCCCAACACTAGAGACGAGTCTTCTGGCACAGGAGCCTCTGAGGAGCACATCCACCACATACACACCCCAGCAACCATGGAGCAGGGGAAGCTGTGTTGTCCATTCAGTTTCTCTGTGAACCTAAAGCCATTCTAAAAATAAGATGTATTCATTTAAAAAAGGAGTAGGAAAATTCTCAGGTACTTTCTTGCAAGTGTACTTCTGCTGTTAGACCTTTCTCTCCCCAGATCTCCACATGGCAGTAGAGCCCTTAAAATCCCATTCAGGTAGGTTAGACCAGGCTCTACCGCAGTGACAAGTGGACCTCAAAATTTCAGCAGATCATCAATTTATTTTTCATGCTGTGTTTAATATAAGTGAGAGGTGTGTGGCTGCAAGCTCATCAGGAAGAACATGGGGAAGGCACTCCAGCTCTCAACTGTCTCCGCCTAGAAGCGATCCATGCAGATTCTGCTTATGGTATAGTCGCATGGCTCTAACTAATGGTCACAGACCCTGGACAGTATAGTAACAAATGCATGTCATTATAAATACTCCACTAGTCCTGCTACAATATCAGTTCTTAAAATCTAGATGTGCACTAAGTTTGAACATTTTCTAAACAGGTAAAGAAGACCTTGAACAGGATATATCATCAGAACCATAAAGTTCATGAAAAGACTGTGCGCACTACAGCAGCTGCTGTCATTTTAAAGAACAATCCATCCTACATGGAGGTAAAAAACATCCTGCTTTCTATTGGGGAGCTTCCCAAAGAAATGAATAAATACATGCTCGCCATGATTCAAGACATCCTGCGTTTTGAAATGCCTGCAAGGTATGATACATCACGCGTCCCCTCTGCTTGTCATGTAACAATGGCATGGTCCTTGTGCTGGTTTGTGCTGCATAAAACCAGAGGGACAAATTTCCCACAAAAGGGCCATTTAGTAAGCCAGATAAAACAGTTTCACTTTGGCTACTTATAGCTTGGCACTCTGGATATGACCTTTACTCTGGGGATCCTGTTCAGTCTGGTAATTATATAAAGTAAGCCTTGGTTCATAAACACTTCTGTTTGCAAATGATTTGGTTTGTGAACAGAAATGTTTGGCAAAATTTTGCTTCCCTTTGTGAACTCTGCATCTGGTGCTGAGCATGACCGTAGCCATCTTTCTAAGAGTCGTGGAGTGAATTAAGTTCATGAACCAAGGCACAGCTACTATTAAATGTTAGTAATATTTAAAATTGAATTGCATTTTCAATGGGACTGTGTTTATAAATAGCACCATGGAATGATGTAAGTGCACATCAGGTGTCTTTCATTTTAACTTTCCAAATTGTAGGAATCTTCAAAACCTCATTTATCATGGCTTCAATACATCTGCCCTCTGAGTGTGAGGCCTCAAATGGGGCCCAAGGGGAGGGCAGGTCACACGGTAGGTCACTGTTGACAGCTCCCTCTCCGTTCCCAATTCCTTGACCCCAAATCCAGGGATGCCCCCAAAGCCCCTCCTCACCAGAGTCAGAGACCAGAGAGGGAATCCACACTTCCTCTGAGGTGCACTTAGTTCGAATTTGCGCGTTCCCCATAGAAAAGGAGAACAGACTGGGGGAGGGGTAGAAACAGGACAGTGAAAGCTTGAACCTGAGGGAAATAAAGCTAAGAAACCTGAAGGAACAAAAGCTGGGGAGTCGGTAGAACCCAGAGAAGACCCAGGTAGAAAGGAAAAAAGAAAGAACAGGAAACTGGGGAGGGAGGCAAGAAGTCAACGCTGTCCACAGTCAAAGCGTATTTCTAGGTGACTAAATCTGATTTTTCTTCTTCGTCTTTGTTGCTGTTCTTAGACTCTAGCAGGGCCCTGGGTGTTTGTGCTGCTTTTGTCTTGTGAACTTGGCGACTCAGGGACAGCAGAGAGAGGGTGAGGGAGCAGAGAGCAGCCTAGGAAATGAGAGGAAGCTGTCACAGGCAGATTCTCAGAACTAAACCCTCCGAGCTGGAAGAGATGTGGAGGCTATCTTGGTCAGTGTCCCTTCCCTGTATGGAGGTCTGGCCTCTGGCAGGAGGTGTCAAATTTTACTTGCCCTCTCTGGGGCAGGAAGCTCACCTCCTCCGGGAATCCTGTGCAATTATATCTTTGTGTCATGGAACTCTCCTCTTAGCGTTGGCTCCATCTCTGGAACCAAGCAAAACAAATCTAACTACCTGTTCACATAAATGTCCTGTTGATGCTGGGGGCAGCTGCCAAAACCCCTCATCTTCCGTTTTCTAGGCTGCAGTCCAAGCACCTCATGATAGCAGAGGATGTGGGTGAGGGACTTATAAAATTTTCTAAGAAAGAAGGGGCTGGGAATTTAGCTCAGCGGCAAAAGCGCCTGCCTGGCATGTGCAAGGTCATGAGTTCGGTTCCCGGTACCGGAGAAAAAAAAAAAAAAAAAAAAATTTCTAAGAAAGAAATCTTCTAAAATTTTTTCTTTCTTATATCTAGGTTCAGTTTACTTTAGGGGATTACATCTCTGTTTTATTGTGTTACTATCATTTTATGATTACTGATACAATTAGGATTACATAATGAGAAATGGAAAGATCTCAACATTAAATACAAAGGCAAGACAGAGGGTAAAGTTTAAGACTACTTAGAAGACATAGTGGCTGCTTTCTGGGTTTTATTGAGCTGTTTGTATAACTGAAACTACACAAATATAGAAGAAATCCTGGGATTTGACTGTTATATGCCTTTAGCCAATGTTGACATTAGACAGCATAGAAAAATGTTTAAAGAGACACCATGCCACCTCCTGGTTTGGTGCAGCTTTTCTCAAAGGTGATGACTCTTCAGCAGAACTCCAATGCCTCAAAGCCCATGTGCTTTCAGCTCCTGAGGTGCAGCCCCCATTCAGTTAAAGTATGTCATAGCTGGCATCCTTGCCTTGGCATTTTGATACCAAGCTGCCAGTAGATATCCAAGGAATGAAAAATAAAGCCCTTGCCATGATGCTGATGTGCAGCTGGACCTTCTCCTGTCTCAGTGTTATGAGGAAAATTTGGCCCCCTCTGTTTTTCACTGAGAATTTGGTTTCTTTCCAAAGTTGACTTGGAAAACAACCATTACAATGAATGTGCAGCTTTTTCTTTTTACTTGTTGCAGCAAAATGGTTCGCCGAGTTCTCAAGGAAATGCTCGTTCACAATTATGACCGATTCTCCAAGAGTGGATCCTCTTCTGCCTTTACTGGCTACATAGACCGTATGTAACCCGAGAAAGGGTTCTCCTCTGCCTCTCCCCAGTGGGCACAGTAGAACCGCTGTTGAGTGACACGGCTGTTTTGTCATTAGGTAGCCCCCACTCGGCATCCACTTACAGCCTTGACATCCTGTACTCTGGTTCTGGCATTCTAAGGAGGAGTAACCTGAACGTCTTTCAGTACATGGGGAAGGCTGATCTCCATGGTAGCCAGGTAATCATTTCCTATGAATTTTGCTTAATAAAGGCTGTAAGAAATAAGCCTAAGGTGTAATATATGCACATGTGTATGGATGGTACCTCTGTAGGTGTAAATTAATGGTGGCTTCTGTCATGTGTTGCCCATGATTCCTTCAACTGCAAAAGGCTGTGTGGTTTATGATTTCAGGAAGGCTTCAGATTGGAAGCCTAAATAATCTGATTTGTCTAGCTTGCTGGGTATACATTTGTCCTTTCAAAGGTACACGTATCCACAAAATTGAATTACCAGTATTTCTCACTTAAACACTTTATAACATTTTATTTTATTCACAGAGATATTTCTTAGGGCCCCCAGGTATTTAATTCTGTGATATATTTGCCTTTTGGAGTGTCTCCACAAAACAGACTGGCTCCCCATAAGAGAAGCTGCGGAAAAGAACACAGCTCTCTAAAGAGCCGATCTACATGGCTTCAGTGCTGCAAGGAGAGAAAATAAAGGGGAGACACTTGATAGCAAGCTGACTTTCGTTCCATTAGTTCTACCCAAAGTTAGGTGATGATCTGAAAAGCCTCCTTATTATGAAATATATGTTTTTTTGATGTGTGTGAATATTACATTCTAACCTTCTGTGTAATTGAAGTCTTTGAACTTCAAAGAGTCACCCTGTGCGACAAAAACTTGAGCTCTCATCAATGTAAAGTGACTGCACCCTTTGGTAGTGCTGCACTCAGGGTGCCTCTGTCCCCAAAACTTGCTATCTGTTTTCTGATACGTGCTCTGAAATGTCAAGCATCCTGTGGTTAAGGGCTGGGTACAGTGGATAGGAAATGTGCAACATTCCTATTTGGGGTAGAAGTCAGGGTGTGAGCTTCTTATGGTGTCCACCATGGTGCTTGTTATCCTTTCTCTTTTGTTGAGAGAGAGGAGTTTGACCAGGACAAGTACAGGGAATCCTGGACCCACTGATAGCAGCAGTCTTAGAACAGTGCAGACCTCTTCACCTCCTCTCAGAACACCCTGAAATAGCAGATGCATTATGTGTGAGTGTCCTGGGGAGACTGACTTCAGGACAGCACCATGGGACAGAAACCTCCTACTCTACATAGACATAATACAGGAGTTTGACTCCTCCTCTGCCATTTACTGGCTGAGCAAGCTTGGAGCATTTTTCATCTACAAAATAGGTGAAATCATCTGTACCTAAAGCATGGTTGTGAAGATGACCTGGAGAAAACCAACTTGCCTTCTATTCAGGCATAAAGGATTTGGTTTGTTTTGCCTAGCTACTGCAGACATTTTAAGTTTTGACTCCTTGGAAAGTCCCAGAAGCCTGGCATCACTCAGGGTAGGCAGGACCATTTGTCAGAATAATCCCCAAATTCTCATCTGTTTCCCTTCAGGTAGTCATCGAAGCCCAAGGGCTGGAAGCCTTGATTGCAGCCACTCCCGATGAGGGTGAGGAGAACCTGGACTCCTATGCTGGCCTGTCTGCCATCCTCTTTGACATTCAGCTCAGACCTGTCACGTTCTTCAATGGATACAGTGATTTGATGTCTAAAATGCTGTCTGCATCTAGTGATCCTGTCAGTGTGGTGAAAGGACTTATTCTGCTAATAGACCATTCTCAGGTATTGCATTCTGTCTGCATGTATTTATTAGTCCCTAAAATGTGCTCCATGCCTGGACGATACAAGGTAAAGTTAGCCTGTCATGGAGCTCACCTTGCTAGTGTTTGACACTCTTGGTACTGTTGCCAGTTCTTCACTATGGATAAGCAGCATTTCCTTCTGCATTTATTAGCTGATTAGAGGATCACCTTACTGGGAGGCAAGTAAATGCAGATGCTAATGAATAGAACAGGAGTTGGGAGAGTGCCAAGCAAAGAGGTGACACAGCTGCCTTACTTGGCTTCCCTGGACACAGGGCTCAGGTGGCAGGAGCCAAATCACATGACTTCTTTAAGTTCCTAGTGACACTCGACAGTGATGACAAAGACCCATAGGGTGCATTATTTTGACCCTGTCAGATTAGTGAAGGACAAGGAAGTAGTGACATCAGCCGTGAGTCTCCAGGAGTTTCATGGAAACTCTGCCTCAAATTCTCACCCTTGTAGAACCTTAAAAGGTGTGTTCATTCTTAGAAAGCAGTACTTGCTCTTATACCTCTACTTCAGAATAGATTTCAGTTTTCTTTACTCCAAACCTTACTATACCACGCGAAAGTCTGGCAATGCTATCTTTTGTGCACTTTTTCAAGCAACCAAGATACAAAAATGATAGTGGTTTTGGATTTCTAAATCCAAGCTATAATTATTATTAATTCCCTATTATTTTTCATATCAGTTCCAGATAGACATAGATAACAAAAACAAAAAACCGTTAGGAGTGGCTTAACCAAGTAGTTTGATTTGTGTCATGTAATAAATATGTAGAAGTAGGTAACCCAGGGCCAATATGGAAATCCTAAAATATCAGAATCCAAGCTCTTTTCCTTCAACTCAGTGACTCTTACTAGGGCTTTAGACCTCCAGATTGTCACCTTGTGACACTGATGGCCACTCCACTTCCAACATTGCCTCCTCACCCCAGGGAGGAAGAAGGGGAAGGGAAAGTCTAACTCTTTTCAAGAACTCTTAGAAGCCTTGTCTGGAACATTATTGACAAAAACTGTGTCACACTGCTGCTTCTAGCTGCAAAGGAAGCTGGTGAATGTAGTTTTGCCAAAGGTGTAGACACAGTGTGAATGGAAATGCAGTGCATTCCTGTTCATGCAAAGCAAGACAGCAATGCAAAGCAGCAGTGGCTCTCAGTCCTTTAACCCTTAAGTCATGCATGGCAAGCAGTTCTCAAATTATATCAGAAATCTGCATTGCACGATCCTATCCCGCTGATAATGGAAAAGACCTCTAAACACAGACTGAGTGCACTGATGAACGGTCCTCATTTTAAAACCAGGACAGCACCACCCGTATGTGCTCAGCTACCCTGAAACAGTGCTCAGTGGTTGGATCTGGTGCAAAACTAGGTGCAAACATAAGTCATAACCTAAATCTGGGCTGCCAGATTGGTTCTTTAAAGGGTAGAAAGCAGATGTCTTAGGCTTCCAGGCCACCTGGTTTCTGAGCAACATTCAGCTCTGCTTCTGTAGGGGGAGCAACCTACAAGTCTTTGGAAATGTTGCTCACAAAAACAGCTTGGGCCAGACTCGTGTGCAGGCAGCCTCTTGCCAACCCCAGATTCAGTTGCTCTTACATGGTTTTTCTATTCATTAAGTGGGGCACCTCTGGCAAAGCATAGTTTAGGAGAAACATTGGCCAGTGTCTGTGTGTGTCACGTGGAGTGTTGGGCAGATCTGATGCCACCACACAAACAAGCTCCAGTAGCTACCCCGGCTTCAGGCAGATGAGCTCGAGGTCTCCTGCTGCTGTAGAAGGAAATGCTGGCCATGGTTGCCCTGGCACAGCCCTGAGGAAGATGGAATTACTCCCCTCTCTTTCTCTCTCCCACTCCCTCCGTCCCTGTCATGGGGTTCCTCTTCAGAGAAGGATGTCTGATGATGTCAACCTAATAAGGGGATCCCTTTTAGCTACTGCAGACCCTGCCTTCCTAAATGGATGCACTGGGATGAGTGGTCAGAGGTCAGTGTCTGAGCTTTGAGAAACACATTTGGGACCAAAAGGAAAAATCAAACGGGTCATGTGAGCCTCAGATGCTAAGTCCTGTACATGGGGAGACAGAAGAGTTAGGAATTTGTATTAGCCATGTATGAGGTGTATAGAAAACTACAGTGAATGTTTAAATTTTTAAAAATTTATTGTAGTATTTGTTACAGTAAAAGACATTCACTTCCAACACATTTATCCCATCATTCTTGCCACTTCCTGAAGCAGTTCTGGAAGTCTATTTTCATGAGTATCTTTAGTTGTACTGTCATATCTACCTTGATGTCCTAAACCGATTCAAAATGTTTCCCTTTCATGGGCATTTTGACTTTGGCAAGGAGCTGGAGGTTGCACAGCCCCAGATCCAGTGGATGAAGTGGATGAGGACACACTGTTGTGCTTTTATGAGCTGACTTTCTTTTGGATGGCACTCAGCACTCAGCACTCTCTGCATTTTTTTATCACACTTCATAAAGATTCACAAAAGAGAATTTCTAGAATTCCTTCAGAAAGTGGCAAAAGTGATAAGATAAGTATGTTCAAAGGGAGAGGCAATATTTTTAAGGGGGGGTTAATGGGAACATATCTTTGTTGTAATAAATATTTTTAAATTAAACTTTCATTGTATATTTTCACCATATACTTTGATCACACCTTATAGAAAGATCACTTGGAAACTGTCTGGTTACTTATTGCAATTTTATATGTATTCTCTAAACTTTATTTTTCTTTTCAGTCTTCCAATATATTGTCTACCATGAAAGATTGGTATAAGGATTAAGTGAATTACCCAATGCAGAGCTTTAGGCATACAGTAAATGCTTTAAAAATTTAATTTATGCATCTCAGAAATTAAACCACTGTACTATGTGGTTTAGTTATTTTTATAAGAGAAAGAGTTGCTCTTTCTTCTCTTTTTAAGAGAAAGAGTGGGTCAGTGGTCTATCTTCATAAGGTGGTACAAGAAAATTCCTTTGTAGCTTTGTATAAGACTTCTCCCATGCTCCCTTTGTATAAAGAAAAGGAATCTTCCCAGAAAGTCATAGTGCTCCTCAAAATTACCTTGCAGTGGAGATGCAATATATCTTCTTACAGAGATATACTGTCTGACACCGTAAAGTGCACTTTTTTGTGGTACTTACAGTATTTTGACATCTACTTAATGTTTTATCAATGAGAAAGTTAAGGTCTACATTGCAAGTCCCTGGTGATTCTGCCAAGATTATGATTTTCAGGTTGGGAAGTGAGGAGAGGCTGGGCATGCAGTCCCCATTGCAGTGCACATGTACTGCATCTGACTGTCTTGGCCCTGTAATTCATTGGTATGTGTTAGCATCTGAGGATGCCTCCCATAGTTTTGTCACTTCCAACACATTAGCTGTGAGTTGTGTTCCCTCACATTAGCTGTGATCCGTAGCACAGCCCCTGTGCTCTGTGGCAACCACATTTCTCTCCTAGACTGCGTGTGACTCTTAGGATCCTTCGTAGTGCCTCCTAATGGATCCTGAGCATTGCACTGTGTGGCCCTGTCTCTGTGATTCCACCTCACCCTGAGTGTCCTTCAGAATGAAGGTAGAGCCATCACTGCCACATCTGCTTGTACGCTTGCTCCTAGTCCAAACTGTGCATCTGAGATTTCCTGCTATGCTGTCTGGAATTCAAGGAGACCAACACTATCCTTTCCGGAAAGTGAAATCATGTCATTTCTATGTGGCAAGCGTATGGCTCATTCTGAGTAGGACAGTTGAGTAACAAAGTTAGTCATGCTGGAAGTTACCAGGAACTTATGATCTTTGGGGGAATATCAAACTAAAGATGCTGAGCTTTCCCCCAGAATTATTGTCACACTTAACACAGTCCCTAGGCAATCTGATTTCCATCCAGCTGAAAATGTTTTGGCCAATATCATCCCACCTAACATACCTAGAAAATGTAAGACATCAAGACTAAGTGGAGGCAAACAGCACACAGCAATGAGTTTCAAACAACTCTAAAATTGCTCAGGATGGACTGTGTCTGTTAATGATTCCTGTGCTTCTGAAAAGTGTGGTTGACTTTGTGTTGGATCTGTTATTAAGCCACAATCATTTCAGATGTAAGAGGGCAGGGTGCAAGGCTAAAGTAAATGCTTGCCTCCCTCTCCTGCTCTGTTCTGGGCTGCTGCTGGAATTTGTACATGGCACCAGAGGTCATTGTGTTGTTGCTTTGTACTTGTCAGAAGGGTGCAATGGTCTGTATTTGAGGGGTGCTGAAGAACCACCTTGTCCAACCCACATCCACAAAATAAAATCTCAGAGGAATCTTTGGTGGAGGTGCCTTCACTTTCTCTGGTGCCATGGTTCTCAATTTTAGAGGAATCTGGATCACATGAGCACTTATGATAGCACAGATTGCTGGGCCAACCCTTAGTAGGTGTGGGAGCCTCTGAAGGTTCCTGGGGATGCTGATGCTACTCCTTAGAGGACCAGACATCCGGGACTGTTTGCCCCACAGCAATTAAAGGAAAAGACCCTTCACAATTGTGCACTCACTTCTCTAGTGTCTTCATTAACTTAGCAAATTAGCAGAGTCTGCATCTGCTGATTAAGATGAGGACAATTTTCCAAACCTAGTGAAGGGCTCTTGCATCCACCTAAGTCATTGGAGTACCCATACCAATTGCATTGTACTTACTGTTATTACCCTTTTTTTTTTTTTTTGGCTTTAGGACCTTCAGTTGCAATCAGGACTAAAGGCCAACATAGAAGTCCAGGGCGGTCTAGCTATTGACATTTCAGGCTCGATGGAGTTTAGTCTGTGGTATCGTGAGTCTAAAACCCGAGTAAAAAATCGGTAAGCATATCACATTCAATACTCTATATGTAGAACTGCAGAGATATGTTCTGGGAGTTGCTTAACCTTTGGATTTTTCAAAGTCTATGTGATTTTATTTGTAATCATGAAATCATAGATTTGGAGGTGACCATGGGAAGCCATTCTGACATAGCTTCTTAGGAGTGGGTCAGGTATTTAGTACAAGTCCACTGAGAATCTTCCTGCTTTCAGAGACACAAATAGACCTTAGGCCAAAGAGTGAGGGGCTCATCTTCTCTTGGTGTCTCATGTTAGTGGTCAACAGTGCTGTCAGGAAATTTTACTTTGAAGCCAGTTTGTTAGCCTACTTCCCCTATTCTGGTTTAAAAGCTTTCTTCTTTTGTTCTCTTGAGAATATCATCTGTACAGAATCAAAGCCTTAAGTTCTCAGTGTTCTTATGTTTTTTTCCTTAGCATTCGTTTTTCTGAGCCTGTTAAGTTTTTTTTTTTTTTTTTTTTTTTTTTTTTTTCTTTTCTAACCCAATGAAAATGTTTTGCTTGAACAGAAACAACATCTCTGAACTAGAGATAATCAATGTAATTATTCTTTTTTGTTATAAAATTGAAGAAAATGAAATAAAATGTATTTTTTTTTTTACCTCTTGGATATTTGAAAACCTAATGGGCAGAAGTGAGATAACAGTGATATAATTTATCTTATTCATTTTCAACTATGTGTGAACCTACACAACACTCAAAAGGTGGCATATTTAATGTGAAAGATTACACATAGTAAGACTAAAAGGAACCAAAAAATGAGAAATGGCGTTGGACATCAGAGTCAGTAATAAATTTGAAGCTTTCCAGTGACTATATCCTTTTCTCTTTTCAAAATATTTTCTGGATGGAAGTTTTCTAAATTACTTTGAGGATTCAATATAATCATGAAATCATATACTCCTCTGTACAGTTTGGAGACAATATCAACAACAGTGACAAAAAAAAATCTGGGCATTTTAAAAGAACACAATATCCTTAGGAAGTTATCAGTATCCATATTACAAATAATCTATCTTCCATCTCATTATTCATTCATTCATTTAAAAAACTATGTCAACCTTTTGCTGACCAGAAGACATTAGAATGTACTGTAAGAGATTCAATGATTAAAACAAACTCTGACCTACTTTTATACTTTCAAAAACAGCAGAGGTGTTTTTAATTTGCACAGCAAAAATCAGTACCTCTTTTAAAAATTAGGAACATGTAACGCTAATTGCGGGAGTAATTTCCCATTGTTGATGAAAAGTTTTTTCTTTGGTATAAAGAATTACTTAGAGCAGCCCTAAAGGTGAGCCTTCTCCATCTTTGTTGTCATTCAAACCCCTCTCACTCCCCACCAGTCCCATCCAACCAGTTCTCTGCATGACAGGGGTGAACCTCCTTCCTGTCCCTCCTGGGGAGCCAGTTGTGCATGCGCCGACTCCCTCCTGTCCCTCCTGGGGAGCCAGTTGTGCATGCGCCGACTCCATGGGCAATATCTCAGTAACCACTCTTATACCTCTGGAGTGTAATGAAGTGGAATTGAAATAGCCACCTCAAAGCTAAAGAAATAGTTAACATGAAACTTGTTAGTAACAACAGTTGTCATCTTGCTGAGTTTATACTTCTTTTCAAGATGACTCAGTTTTTTAGATGAGTTCCAAGTATGCTTTCTTGTCGGGCCTTTGGATGCCATGCCAGACAGCGTTGTGCCTGGTAGACACTTTGTTCCCATCTGTAGACTTGGAAGCCGGGGAGGGATACCTAGCCTGGCCCATCCCTGGCTCCAAACAGGTCTGATTGCAACAGGCCTGAGCACAGCTGTACATTTCTGAATGTTTCCTTTTAACCTGTCAGTGTCATAGATCGAGGCTCTGTGAAATTATATCAGTTAGGCCAGCCCACTGAAGTGTGACACCCACAGGTGTTTTTCTCAATCTTAGGGTGGCTGTGGTGGTGACTGGAGATGTCACGGTGGACTCCTCTTTCGTGAAGGCTGGCCTGGAAGCCAGGGCAGAGTCAGAGGCGGGCCTGGAGTTCGTCTCCACAGTGCAGTTCTCCCAGTACCCCTTCTTGGTCTGCATGCAAATGGACAAGGCTGACGCTCCGCTCAGGTAAGATGGAATTCGGGGGATGGCCCAGGACAGCACCCAGCTCAGCAGGAAATTATATTCAGCTTTAGAATAAAAAAATAAATTAAAAAATACAGAAACCAAGTAAAATATGACTTTTCTTTAAAGGAATAGAAGAATAATCCATAAAACTAAGAAAAATCAAGTAAAATCCTCAAAATCTCCGAGGATACCAAGCAAATCCAACGAGTTCATTCGATACTAAATCAAATCATATTTAGCCCAAGATTACTTTCCAAGGAAACAAAGGGACTTGATTGACTACAGAAATTGCCTATTTGCTCTCTGGTATCTCCACACAAATCAAAGCACCTGGCCACCCATTTACCATGGCCTAAGGACCCAGTGAATTTATCATCCTTATGTATCACGTACAACAGTGACTTGACTTCTGGTTTAAGTTTGGGCTCAAGGTTGAGTTTGGGATTGTGGACACATGTTAGTAGAATACTCAAGGTCTTAAAAACCAAATCTGTTATTTTATCCATGTAATTCGCCCTCATCTCTACTGTTTACACTGTGTCCTCTGGCTCTTGTAACCATCATGGGTAGCAGTGCTGTCCCATGGAGACAGGATGCTTTCAGTCTAGGTGGCACTGCCTTTTCAATAGCGGCTGCTGAGGTCTCCTTGACACTTTCTAATCCTAAGGTACAGGAAGCCACTTCTTATGTCATTTCCTGTGATAGCCCGGCTAGAGCTGAGTACTCTTTAAATGTGCTGACACTTTATGATGCGTATAAGAAAGGCATCAATAATGTAAGTACATATATGTTATTTTTTTTTTACAGAATATGTGTGGATTACAGTTGTCACTAACTTACATTACCACATCAAGAACCAAGTTCCATAAATGCATTTTTTGAAAAAAAGAAAAGAAAAAGCCTTTCAGCGGTCAAAATGGCTGGACACTGTGCCTCACTTACTTGATTCATAGCCCTAGGATTGTTTTCCTGGCCACATTCTCAGCAGAGGTCTGAGCCAGGCTTCTGGAATGAGAGGTGCAAGGCACAGCCAGGCCTGCAGAGTTAAACAGAGATGAGAGAAATTCAGCCTTCATCCCCAGGATGCTAAGTCAGATCCACTTTTAGGCATGTGCTGTATTAGCATAGGAGTAGGGGGAAGAGGAAGACCACCCTCCCTGGTGCCAAGGTCCTTGGCACTGGACCCCTTTCTAGAGCCTCTTGGAATCGGAGCTTCAGGAGCACATTGAGAACACTTGTCATGTGGGGTGACTTAACGTGTGTGATGTTTTGGTCATGCAGGCAATTTGAGACAAAGTACGAGAGACTATCCACGGGCAGAGGCTATGTGTCTCGGAAGCGAAGAGAAGGCCTCCTGGCTGGCTGTGAGTTGCCGCTGCACCAGGAGAACTCCGACATGTGCAACATGGTGTTTGCCCCGCAGCCCGAGAGCACCTCCAGTGGATGGTTTTAAAAGCTGACCAGTGACATTTCACTCGAAGTTTCCCCCAAAAGGGACGAGATGTGATGTGCCTAAGTACTTGCTCTCTGAGAGCACGGTGTTTACATGTTTACCCATATTTAAGAGTTTTGTAAAAAGCTAAGAAAAGCTTCAGTTGATTAGACCTGGGCCCGCTCGGCTCACAGCCAGTGTCCCTTCGAGTCATCTCATGACACTTCCTTCATGTGACACGGCAGCCTTAGTTTCCCCGTGCTTTCTCAGCTCCCCTGACCACAGTGAAAATAGTGCTGCTCTAAGAAGAAACCAGTGCTCGCTGACAAACAAACCAAAAACAAAGCCGCCCACGCAGAAGAGTCTGATTTTGTTTGAATAACTTTCAGTGTATAGAAAGCCTTTGACAGAACCTTAAGTATGGCTTAATTTCTAAAAAACATTGCCTAATCAGGGGGAGAAAAGGCTATGTTTTCTTTTCTTCTTTTTCTTGGGGGCAGTGGGTGCAGGGAGAGGGTGGGTATAAGCCTTTTAAAAGGATTTCATTAGCCAACCTCAAGAATTAGTATTTATGCTTCTGTTATTGGTTTTGTCAAGCACTAAGGAGGAGGCACACAGAACAGGCCATGCAGTGAAGCCTTGGGCCCCACCAGGAACACTAGTATTGGCACATGGGGTGAGAATGCTGGCTCCAGAACCACTGTCTGCTCCTCCTTATGCTGAATCTTTTAGACTCCAGTGTGGCCGCTGGCCTTATAGGGCACACCCATGTGTGCTTCATGGCATGATAGCCAGTGCTTTTACAAACTGGTGAATTTGGATTTTAAAAATATGTAATCAAACAAAGAGTCTCTTTATTTGTATGAATTTAAAAAGTTGTGTTTGGATATTTTAAAATATTTATTAATGAAATGGATGTGTTCACTGTGATAAATCCCAAAACAAATGACAGGTGCTCCTTTGCCCGTTAGACACACACGTGATGTGGGAGTTTAGCCACCATGAATCCCTGCACGCTGAAATGACAGGTGATAAAATAAATGTGTGAAAATTTTACTGAATGCTGTCCGTCTTTCATTCCTGTCATGGCAGATTCAAGGCCACCCAGGCTCTCCGTAGACCCAGGCTGGCTGTCACTGCTGTGTCCCTGAGGAGCGCAGGGAGGCTGCGGCATGCCAGAAGCAGGGTTTGCCTGGAGGGTGTGGGGAGGGCACCACACAAACTGAGGGCCTCAGCCCAGTCCTGAGCAAACCACTGGCTTTGTAAAGTGTGAGATAAAAGTTCCATAAAAGTGACAACCAGGTGCCCTACACATCAGCACTTTGCCATGTCCCCCATGGGCAGAGAAGCCTGCCCATCCTCGAGACTGCAGAATTTAGCCACCCCAGCAGGCATCAGAAAAGCAGGAAATCAGGAGTTTAGGACAAGACAAATGCACAAGGTAAAAGCACAGCAGCTACAGGCCCTAAAGACCCAGCCTGACCTTTGCTGTCATTCCCTGTCCCATGCTGCAGTTCTGCCCGGGCAAAAGTGGCTCCCTGCTTCTCCAAATCCAGCCACTGTTAAGCTCATACTTATGTAGAGGTTATCATATGCCAGGTATTTTTAAGCATTTTACACAGGCTAATTTAATCCTCACAACAATCACATCTAATAGGCAGTATTATTTCTACACTATAGATCAGCAATTTCCAAAAGAAATATATAAGGTGAACCAAATAACTTTAAATTTCTAATAGCTGCAGGCCAGGCATGGTGGGGCACGCCTATAATGCTAGCACTCTGGAGGCTGAGGCAGGAAGATTACCATGAGTTTGAGAACACCCTAGATTACATAGTAAGACCTTGTCTCAAAAAAATTTTGATTTCTAATTTTAAATTCCAATAGCTGCATTAAAAAGTAAACAAGAGAGATGAATTTTAATAATGTGTCATATTTAACAGTATATTCAAAGTATTATCATATCAACATGTAACTAACATAAAGTTATTAATGGAATATTTTACTTTGGGGGGAAGTAGTAAGCCTTCCAAATGTGACATACCTTAATGTACACAGCACAACTCAATTTGGACAAACCAATTTCAGGTATGTAGCTAGCATCTAATATATAGAATATATCACACTGATGGAGAAACTAAGGCACAGAAAACATTTAACTTCCCTGACAGAAGGCATTTTCTCACATAGAAAATAGTAGAGTATGGATTCAGATATAAGTGATCTCACCCCCAGAACCTGCACTCTGAACTCAGTATGTTTGCTAGATCTCTTTGGTTTTCAAAGATTGCTGCTAAAACATACAGATGGTAGATGTACCTGTCAGCTTTTCACGGATGGGGCACAATGCCCAAACCCTGCAGCTTACGAGAGGAGAGGTATAATTTGGCTCAAGTTTTCAGTCCAGTGTTGCCCCGGGGTGGGGGGTGTGGTAGTTAGGGTGGAGGGACAACTTGGTTGGCTCTGAGATCTGCCCTAGGGACAGGATGAGCATACTCTAGGTGTGTTTAGGGGTCACAGCACCCTGGCCTTGGGGTCACATCTGGTCCCTGGCCCCTGTCTCTCAGGCATTGTTCCTTGCTCTGCTTCCTGGCTGCCAGGAGCCAAGCAGTTTTACTCCACCACACCTCCCACCATGACTGCCCCACTTGAGTAGCTGGCAACATTTTCTGCACTGTATAGGGTATGTACTCCTTTCACAATAGCATCCCAAAAATGGAATACTGAGGAATCAATCGAACAAAGGAAGTTAAAAAATCTATACAATGAAAATTACAATACTCCGAAAAAAGAGATAAAAGAGGATTTCAGAAAATGGAAAGATATTCCTCGCTCATGGATAGGAAGAACCATCATTGTGAAAATGGCCATACTCCCAAAACTATTATACAGAATTAATGCAATCCCAATCAAAATACCATTAGCATACCTCACCTATCTAGAAAAAACATTCCTAAAATTCATCTGGAATCAGAAGAGACCTAGAATAGCAAAGGCAATCTTGGACAACAAATGCAAGGCAGGAGGCATCACAATCCCTGACTTGAAATTATGCTACAAAGCAGCTGTGATGAAATCAGCATTGTACTGGAAAAAAAAAAAAAAGACCCGAGGGTCAATGGTACAGATTAGAAGATAAAAACACAACTACAAATGCACTCAGCCACCTTATCTTTGACAAAGGGACCAAACATGTTCACTGGAAGAAAGATAGCCTGTTTAATAAATAGTGCTGGAAAAACTGGCTTTGCACATGTTGAAGACTAAAACTAGACCTATGTCTGTCACCATGCACTAAACTGCAGTCAAAATGGATTGAAGATCTAAATATTAAAGCAGAAACACTAAATCTAGTGGAAAATAAAGTAGGTAGAAATCTTGAAGACATAGGGGCAGGCAGAGAGCTCTTGAACAAAAAACAAACTGCACAGGAAATACTTGAAAGAATCAACAACTGGGATCTCATCTTATTAAAAAGCTTTGGCACAGCAAAAGAAATCACCAACAGAGTGAAAAGAAAACACACAAACTGGCAAAAAAAAGTTTTATCTAACTATCCCTCAGACAAAGGACTTGTAGCTAGAACATACAAAGAACTAAAAAAAACAGAGCCCCCAAACTCAAAGACCCAATCCAAAAATAGGCATCTAAGAAGAATACATACTTCTCAGATGAAGAAACAAAAATGGCAAATAAATATATTGAAAAGTGTTCAACATCACTGGTCTTTTGAGAAATGCAAATTAAAACAACACTGAGATTTCATCTCACTCCAGAAAGCATGGCTATCATAAAAAAAAAAAATTGACCCATAACAAATGCTGTTGGAGTTTCCCAGAGCAGTGTGTACTTTTATCTTTACTCACACCCTCTTTTTCTCTTTACTTGGCCCAAGCTCACTCTGCAGAGTTGGCCTGTAGTTTTCTTCCCTGCTGCCTTGCTCTCTCAGTTTTCACTTTTACTTTCTCAAATAAACTTTGCACTGCTTTTTCCTTGTTTCATCCAATTCTTTGTTTGAGACAAGAAAAACTTGGACTCAAACTCTGGAAGGATAAGAGAGCGACTCCAAACCTGGTAACATTTAATTAGGAGCCATGTTTAGAAGCAAGCTACCAATAACATTCCATTTTCTGATGTCCTCTTCAATGTCCTTTTTCAGAGTTCTATAGTTTTCTTTATAGAGGTCTTCCACTTCCTTGGTTAGGTTAATTCCTAAGTAATTTTTTTTAAAACTGTTGTGAATGCCATTGTTTTCTTAATTTCATTTTCAGCGAGTTCATCACTGGTGTACAAGAATGTTATTGATTTTGTATTTATTTTCTGTTATGCTACACCGCTGAAATTGGATGTGTTTGTTTCATTCCATTGCCTAAATGTCGGCATGGACTCCAGTGCAATGTGAACAGAGCCCTGGGGACTACAGAACAGGAAGGAGGCCCAGATCACATGGGCATCCTTGCAGCTCTCTTTTTACTAAGTAACATACTCAAAAACAAGCGAGAACCTACTAGAAAGCTTAACACATTTAGGAGCCGTGTTTAGAAGCAAGCTACCAATAACATTCTATTTTCTGATGTCCTCTTCAATGTCCTTTTTCAGAGTTCTATAGTTTTCTTTATAGAGGTCTTTCACTTCCTTGGTTAGGTTAACTCCTAAGTTTTCACTTAGGAATGAGTTGGAGCAGTATGCTCCAAGCCCCCTTCATCTCGGTATGTTGGGGGCTCCTCAGCTCCACAACTACCAACTAAATCCTCAGCTCCACAGCTACCAACTTCACTTAGGAACACATGAATGCTCCTGGCTCAAGGAGGGAGCATAGACCTGGCACTCAGAATCTGCCCCACGTTCCTGCTCCTTATCAGTGTCCCTGACTCCTAGGAGATGGTGGCAGGGGAGGGGAGGAAGACAGAGATCTGACCTCAAATTTCAGTCCACTGCTGAGGGAGTAAATGCTCTTGGACCTGTGTGATGATTATCTTCACTCCACTGTTGCAGGACTTGTGGAGATGAGGTGTGTGATGCAGATCCCCACACAGGAGCTTTCACTGGTGTTTGTTACAGAGGAGACATTGTAAGCAGTGCGCTTATCAGGTGGCAAAGGGGTTTGTCTGCACTTCATGTCTCCTTCCTCCTTGCAAATAACTATAGGTACAGTGGTGTTCTCTTCTCTGATTCTCAGGGCTAGTGCAGTGCAGCATGTACACAATTCACTTCAGCTTCCAGCAATTAGAGGAGGAACATACAGAGATGAAGGGGGCTTGGAGCATACTGCTCCTGCTTATCTGAAATTGTACCTCTTAGGGCTGGGGATTTAGCTCAGCGGCAAAAGCGCTTGCCTGGCAAGCGCAAGGTCGTGAGTTCGGTTCCTGGTACCGGAGAAAAACAAAAAAAAAAAAAAAATGAAATTGTACCTCTTCCTCATACTGCTGCTATGTAAACCGTTAAACCTCTTGGCTTCTGCACTGGTATAATGTGCAGCTTATTTGTCACTTTCCCATTGTTGGGACAAAATTCCTGACACCCAGAACTCAAAGGAGGGAGGATTATTTTGGTTCATGGTTTCAGTGGCTTCAATCCGTGGTTGGCTGGTTCCAGGGTAGAAATGACACGGCAAACTGGCCTGGTGTAGAACAGCTGCCTACCTCATGGCATCCAAGAAGCAGAGAAAAGGAGAGGAGTAGGGGTTGGGGAGGGGACTCCACATCTGTTCCAAGCAGGCCCACCTCCTAACACATATTTAGCTCAGTGGGTCAATGAACACTTGAATATAGCACCTCATAATTCAATCACCTTTTAAAAGCCCTACCTCCAAACATGAGGCTTTTGAGAGATACTCTAAATGTAAACCATGACAAGCTGAAAAGCATAGGTTGTTGTGAAGATGAAATAAGGTAAAAACAAAGTGTCTAGCACCTCCTAAGTACTCACAACTATCAACTTTTGTTTTTGTTTGTTTGTTTTTCTTCCAGTACCAGGAATTGAACTCACGACCTTGCACTTGCCAGACAGGTGCTTTGCTACTGAGTTAAATCCTCAGCTCCACAACTACCAACTT